TTTTTTTTTTTCCCCCCACCCCTGGGGGATCCCCAAAAAACTGTCCCCAGCCAGTTGGGTCGTTTCTGAAACCCTTGGGACCCACCTTTATTTTCGTGCCGGGGCTCAGCTTGAGAGTTGTTGGTCGCCCCCCCAGGTGTATGAGGTAAAATTTTCCCCCAGGGGGGTGCCCCCCCCCCCCCCCCCCCCGCCGACCGTACCGCTATTTCCCGGCAGGCTTCGCCCACTCTGCCTTCACGTTCGCTTATGAGAGCCAGATAACCAAGTCTAGCGTCGCCGAAGCACAGGTGAGGGGCGCGTCATTCGCGGCTTCGATCTCTGCATGTGTTCGTCTAAATCGCTTGATCTTTCAAAGATACAACCACAATCAGCGAGAGAGACTGCTCTGGGGGCATACGAATTGCGCCCGTGTATATTACCCCCTCGTGGTTCGTTGTGTACGTGTGTACGTATGTAGCCATATAGCCATACCGACATGTTGAGTACCGGGCGTGCGCCTACTCTGCACTACCAAGTCATTTGCAAAAGAAACACTGCAAACTGGTGTGTGCTACACAAGATCCTGCGGCGATCGAAGCCGGTGTTGGCGCGTATGGCACTATTACTGCTAATAGGCGATGTACAACAAATACAATGCCATGTTCGAACCCTTTCGCTCGGTACATGTGTATGTGACTTGCATCACAAGACTTCCGCCTGGCTAAGATACCCTCAAATTGCCGTTGCAATGGAACGACATTAAGTACACGAGCCCGTTGAGCAGCGGTGGGGTGTTTCTCGGTGGAAACTGGCAGTGTGCAGTACTGCTCCACCACGTGTTTTGTTTGGGGGGGGGTTGCTGAACTACGCGATTCGTGAGAGTGAGAGGAAGAGGGTAGGTACATGAAGGTGGACCCGGCTGTTACATGGCACCATGTTGAGGCGTCGCGGCCTTGTTTCGGTAGTCATGGCAGCCACTTGAACTGTTGTGAATCAATTCGTCTGTGACATTGTGCCCTCGTTGCTATGAATAGCCGCGTGTGTTTCTTTCAACAGCGTCGACCGCGCTAACGCAAGAGATGGTGTCAGCCAGCCTCGCGGCGGGATTCAAAAACGAAGAACGCCATCCGCTTGTGTATGTCGTGCGCGTGCCGCTTCTCTCGCTGGCCCAGGTGGCGCCGGGCATGCTGATCACCTTCTTGCAGAAAGGTCTTGCCTACGTCGGAATCGAGGAGCACCTGAATGAGGTAATGCACGCTAATACAGGAGTGGAACCGCACCTGGAAACGATACAACGAAGATGCATTACAAAACGGTGTGCCAAGCACCGGGCACAGCAGTTACAATTGAAATCGAGCTACTTTTCAATTGACGAAGGAAAATGTTCGTAGTAGTTTCCAAAGAAAAGCTATCTATGTGCAGAACTGCTGTTGTAAGTGAAGAGCATTGCTCCTTCTCAGATCCAGCCCTGGGGCATGACCCATACTTGGTGCCAACACGCTTCTGCCCAGCATGGCGTCAGCTGGCAATATCCCATTGGCGGTAAACCGCAGAAAATACTTGATCGACAGAAGCACCCCCTTTAGGTGTGCCGATTTTATCTGAACGCATCATGTGCTCCAACCCTACCAAGGCGAATCAGCCCTCAATGTCGCCGTCTCAGCAGTTTGCTGGTGTGGGTGACGTGTCCATGCGGCTGCAGATCGCGCGATAGCGCTTGATTTCGTAGAGATAACTAGTGTGTCGAGTCTGGTTTACGTGCGGCTCATGGAACGCGACTACGACTTAGTTCCACAAGATGCTGCTGAGGAAACAGGTTCGGGAGCCTCCTTCGGATGTTAGCAACGCATCCAAGCAATCCGGCTCTTGGTTATTGTCGCAAGCACACGTGTCTGTGTTGCACAAATTCCACACGGCTGGCCCCACTTGTTGGTGCAGTGTGGGGGTGGGCTGTCTCGTGCCGGTATGTACCCAGAGAGCTAACCGGCAGTATCCACCGGACACGGCACTACTCAAAGTACAGACTCGGCGATTCAGTCTGTGCCAGCCGAATAAACCGGCACTATACCCGGCACCGGCACATTCAACAAGCGCCAAATAGCCCCCCCACTGCTTTATATCGACCTTTTTATATCCAGGACGGGTCTGAGTCTCGGTGCGACGTGGACTTCTCGCTGCTGAAGGCGCACGTATGCGGTGTTCGGCGCAACGCCGTGGAAGGCGGCGGCAGTGGCAGCGGCAAGAAAAAGAGGGGGGCGGACGACGACAACGATAACGACAATAACCGGCGGGGTGCCGGTGCTGGTGAGTGTAGGGAGGAGAGATTCTCCATAGCGGTTCCTTTGATTGATTTTTCGGAGTGTGTGTACCCTTTTTAGGGGGTAGTTGGGGTGTGTGCGTCAGTTGGACCAGCACGAATTTTGGAAGTTAGAAGGCATTGGTTGAGCAGAAATCAGAAACGTTTTGTTATTACTGAGACAACAACGACAACAACAGTGTTTGAAGGTACTGAACAGACACCAGAACGTTTTGTTGACAACAATAGCATGCATCGTTTCCGATCGCGGGCGAGGCTGGTTTGGGCGGGGGGGGCTTCCCATAACGCTGACCCGACGGTGAAAAATTCCGATGGCATCACCAGCAGCGAGTTGCCCTGGCCTCCGTGTTACGTGGCGTCCGTCACTATTATGGCCAAGTTGTGCAGTTATGGAGCATTTCTGTGTGGCACCCCTGTTTGGTTAGGCGGCGATTCAAAACTTTGTATCACACGTGACTGGCGCGCGTTGCTGGGAGGAAGGGAACCAACCCACCCCCGTGGTTGTTATCCACGTTTTTGGTGGCACCAACACGACACTTTCGCTCCTCTCCTCAACAATGGCGTGTTGGCCAAATCACTGAACCAATACCACTTTTTCTGCCGTCTATGCTATTGTTGGTGGCGACGTTGACACCACATTTGCTTGCCTTCTCAACAATGTCCATGTTGACCTATAGCGAACACTCCCTGAACCAACACCACTTTTCCTACCACCTATGCTATGCATTGGTGGCGACCTGCACACCACTTTTGCTCTCCTCAAGAGACCGAACAAAAAAATCCCTGAATGTACCATATTTCTACCATCTAGGTGGCGAGGGTTTCCATAGGGGAGGACGAGAAGGTGCCACCGGCGGCGGCGGCGGAGGGAGCGCCGCCGGCGACCGGTCCCACAACGACGACCACACGGGGAGGGAGACGAACGGGGGGGCCGACGCCAGCGGCAGGGTGGGGGGGCACGGGCACAAAGGCGCAGCCGCCGGAGCCGCCGCGGGCGGCGCCAACATGGCGAACACCGGGGAAGCGATGGAGGTGGACACGGGGGAAGAGCGAGGCTACGGGGAGGAGAACGGGGGCGCGGGGGCGGCGGCAGCGGGAGGGGTTGCGGCGGGAGCGGTTGCTGCGAATGGCGAGGGCGCCATGGGTATCAGCATTGGAGACGGGTTGAAAGGGGGCCCCGCGGGGTGCGACGAGATTCCGGACGGGGACGTGGCGGTTCTCAACAACCACCACTCCGAGGTGAGTCTAAGTGTTGCTCCGAGGTGTAGTGTTGGAAATCTGGGGGGGGTGTGCCGTATTACATCAAAAAAGGGCGAAAGATGCAGCTTGCTGGGCTAAGCATTGTACCTTCGCGGGACTCATGAATCGCCACTTGACTCATTTGTCGCCATTACTTTTGAGGTGGAGGTGTTGCCTGGTCATGCACATCGCTCAGTTGGGACTGCTGTGTTTGACATTGCGTAATCTTTGGCCGTTGGTGGGTTGTTTTTGGCCTCCATTTGGTGTTGCGATTAAAGTTGTAGAGGTGCACAGCACAGCAGGCGCACCATCAAACCATCCTCCTCTTCGAGTGCAAGGCACAACCATAGTCACGCTGAACCCGAGCTTTTCACAATTGGAAACAGTTTCTGCCTCCCCCCCGCGTGATTATCGATGGTCCATGGCTGTTGTTGACCTCTAAAAGACTTTGACGGTGATACATAAAACACATATGCGCTTGCAAAGGACGTGCCACCACGCAACAACCTGAGAGACAAGTCGCAAAATTAGGTCCAAGAAGAGATGTATTAAGAGCTTGGCCATAAGAACAGGTAGTCAGGTAAGTACCCTACACTTAAAATTCTGTAGTCGGTTGTTGGCGTACCCCACGGAGGGAATGAGAAAAAGGAAGTTTTTTTCTGAAGTAGTGACACGATCTATGTACAGCAGTGCTGTACCCGGAAATTGGGGTCAGTCCAAGATCCAGGGGGACCTGTCGTTCTCCCGAATAGACCTTTCGGACCAGAACGTGTGGCACTTTTTTGGAGGGTCTTTGGTGTTGCCACCGAGCGTTGTCCTAGCCCTTTAATTCGTGCGGAACTCATTGATTGCGCCTCAGTTGTTGACGTATATATGCATTCACGCTCAGTCAGAAGAGCGATGCAAGCAACAGCAACAATTCGCGTCCGTATTTGTTTGTTCTGATTTGTGCCTCGTGTGTTTCATCGCGCACGTGAGGAAGAGACTGGGTCGAACAACACCACACTATTTAAACAACAAGTGTCGGTGGTGCTTGGGGCAGGCAAGGATAGTTACAGTTGATACCTGGTCGTACCCTGCGAACTACAGCAGTATACCACTTCGGTGTTAGTGAAAGATAGCGGCGTAAACGTTCACCCTGCAAACCGCGGAGACTTGCTGATCGGCCTTGTCTCTAGCTTGGCTCATCGCACCAGTGTGAAAATTCAAGAACAGGTCTTATGCATATGCGGAGTGCACACACCGCTCCTTGCTGCCAATAGACGCGAGGAAGAGATGTGTACAGACGGATAACACTCCACAGAATGTCAACTGTTGTATCCAGCCTCATAATGTATGTACTTGTGTTGCACCGTCCGTGTGTTTTGACAGGTGTTCATGTGTGCATGGAATCCCAAGTACGACCTCCTGGCGTCGGGGTGAGTCTAGCTGCCACACGTCTCGCTATGTCTTGCAATATCCTAGCTAGCTATTAATTGCTGTAACTAGATTCTAGCAATCGATTGATCTATCTACGTATAAAAGGCCGACGTTCGCCCTGCCTGTGGTGTGTGCAGCGTTTGTTTTTTGCCAAGTCTTAGTCTTTGACGCGTGGAAGAAGGGTAGGCATTGTTCACGCGCGGCACGTGCCGCCCTGCATTTTAGTAGCCTACGTTGCTGGACTTGTCCCGCTGACGTTCATTGCGCAACAGACTGTATCAATCAGCTGCCATTGGTTCACCGTGCTTGATTGGTACACCCGGCCGGTGTCTTATCTCATGTGTTTCTTTCCGTTGTTGTTGCTGCTGCTGCTGCTGTTGTGGGTCTGCCGTGGTGATGTCTCGTCTCGAATAGGTCCGGAGACTCTACAGCGCGGATTTGGCAAATATCTCCCAAGTTGCGGTGAGAGCAAAAGCTGCATTCTACAGTACAACATCCATGTGGAGGTGCTGGCAACCATGCTCGGTCTGCCTGCCTGCCTTCTGTAGCGAGTGCCGTGTCTTTAACTCTTTAACTGCCGTCGTCGCTGACCAGTGCCGTGTTGCCATTATGAGCACTGCCATGTGCATCGTTGTGGGGCGCTCTTTTTAGCATGGTGTGGGACATGATGGAAAAATGTGTTACTTAAAATGGCACCCAAGGGAGACCATATGTTTGCCTGTTCAGCGTTGATCTTGTTTTGCACGGTAGGCCTGTTTTTTTGTGTCTTGTTCCTTGAATTGTTAGTTGTGGTCGGTGTAGAATGAATCCTGTTGGTGCTTGTCGGGTACCCTGAGTAGTCTAGTGCTCATGGTGTTTGAGTTGGCACAATGCCGTGCTGTGCTCGACTTGTCTGGTTGTTTCCGCTTCTGTTTTGCAGAGGCTCAAAGGTGGCGGAGGAAGCCTCGCGGACGTCGATGGTGCTCAAGCACTCTAAGGAGGTGGGGGATAAGAACAAGGACGTCACAACGCTAGAGTGGAACAGAGAGGGCACCCTATTGGCTACAGGTGATTGATTGCGTACTGCTGTAGATAGGTGTCGCCGTGATGAACGCGTGGCTCACAAGCAGCTGGTTCACACACAGCGGTGAAATACATTACTTGCGTGCTCGTCTTGGTGCCTGTACGCTTGACTACCGCCGCAGGCATAGTGCGTTGCAAGCTTGGTATTGTGTACAAGCTTTCAGCAGCCATGGCTGTGTTGGCTGGGCGTCCAGCAGTGCAGGTGTAGTCTACCCCAATCGAGACAGGACCGCTTTCCAGGCAAGATTTGTCGTCTCAGCCTAACGCCTAGGCTCTCGTGTCTCTTCCACACACTCTCATACTCTTCAAGTCGAATATCTGGGAAAGGACAACCTTCTGTGCTAAAGCACCTCTTGCTGTTCTTGCCGTACTCGTTTCCCTCGTTTCATCATGGTTTTGATGCCTTAAATCATCTTGACTACGGTCTCCAACCTCTCTCTTCCCCCCCCCTTTTTTTTCCTCTTTTTTTTTCAGGATCTTACGACGGCGTGGCGCGCATCTGGTCTCAGGATGGAGCGCTGCAGCACACTCTGGAGGCACACGAGGGGCCGATTTTCTCTCTCAAGTGGAACGATAAGGTGAATGAGTGAGAGAGCCGGAGCGCCGCCATCACCATTATCTCACGTTGGCACCGGTTTCGTTGGGTTTTTCTATGCATATTGTATTGTATGCTATGCATATTGTATTGTATGCTATGCATATTGTATTGTATGCTATGCATATTGCATTGTATTGTATTGTATTGTATTGTATTGTATTGTATTGTATTGTATTGTATGCGTGTTGAGTGGTGAGGGTGGTGGTATCGTTTTCGTCTGTACCATTTTTGTTGTGCCATCTTGCAATATCATGTGTCGTGAACGTAGTTGATGTACGTGGGCCTCGGTTAAAACCGCCTGTTGACCTGCTTTGTGGAAAACGCAAGGTGCTGGTGTGAACGGCTGTTGTTGTTGGTGTTGTTCGCCTGTGCTTGCTCTATCTGCGTTGTAGGGAGGAAGACGTTCGTTCGAAGTTTGGCGCAATTCTGTTGTGCACCAAAAATTCGCTGTTGGAGTTAGCTATCTTGCGGAACGAAAGACACTCACAGCAGTGCAAGCGTAAAATGAAAACGTGTTGTCCTTAAGGTTGCCTTATGATTATCTCTGAAGCTCTTTTTCATTATTGTTTTGTTGCCGAAGGCGTATGTTGTATTGTGCGGACAGACTCCTTGAACAACAACCCCTGACTGTCCGACAGTACCGTTAGCTCTTCGCCAACCATCCTCGAGCAGTCTCGATATCAGTTTCATTGTAGATAGAGTAGTAGCCGTAAAGTTGATGGTGGTTTGTTCACGTCGCAGCTGTCACATTCGTATTGTTGCGTAACTTTAGACAGGACTGCGAGAAACTGCACATGTGGTAGCGTCTACTTCAACAGCAACATAAAACAGCACCATCGCTAGTGCCGACATCCGACAACAGCCGTGCCGGACACTTGTATCTCAATGTTGTAACCTCGCTCGCCGTTGTAATTGTCCCACAGGGGAATTTCTTGCTGAGCGGCAGTTCGGACAAGTCGGCGATCGTGTGGGACGTCGCCAGGGGAGACGTGCAGCAACAATTCCGATTCCACGAGGCCCCCACTTTGGTGAGTCTGATGGTCGCGTGTTGTACCGGTTTGCTGTCGGTTTCAGTTTTTTTTCTTCCCTTGTTCCTCTTCGTCGTCCTTGGTGGTGTTTGTTGCTGACAGGTTGTTGTCTCATTTAAGTGCGTAACGCATCACACAGGTTGCCTGCGGTACGCCGTTGACTCCTGTGTCGGCTTGCTGTTGCTACTGCTGGTGTCATGTTGTGCTGTGCGTTGATTGGCCGAGCAGGATGTGGACTGGAAGGACGACCTGACGTTCGCGACGTGCTCCACCGACAAGGCTATCCACACCTGTGTCATTGGGGAGGAGTACCCAAGACAGACCTTCACCGGTCAGTTAGTTTTCGCCTTCTGTTCCAGTGCGAGAGGTGCAGATTTTACAAACCTCCACTGGCTACAGTCTCCTCTCGAGCATCCTCATACTCATTACAATGACACACCCATCGTTCGTGGAATAATTTAGCCATCATTTGTGGAATAGTGTTTTTTGTGTGAGAATGTCAGCTCTCAGATTGTTTTTGGCTCAGCAGCAAAGCTTGCTGTGTTTGGTAGCAGCATCCAGATATGCCGGCGGCGTTTCAGGCTGCACGCAGGTAGGACAATCATCGAAAACCCCGTTCCCCTCTGTTGCTTGAACAAACTAAACGAATGCTTTGGTCCATTTGACACCGTAGATTAGTCTGCTTTCAGAAATATATACCACACCCGGGTGAACATGCTCGTGGATCGGAAGGGGGGTGAGCCATTATCAGCGACGGAAGATAGCGAGAACGCTATCGTGACAGGGCTGTGCGAACGTTGAGAGGGCCTGTATTTTTGAGTTGTGATGCACCGACAGTCACTCCTTGGTAGGTATGCTAATATTTGTAGCCACAACATTGTCACCGATCAAGGATATGTTGTGGTGCTCTATGCGTTGGTCCTGGCAGGGCACTGCGACGAGGTAAACGCGATCAAGTGGGATCCCAGCGGTACCTTCCTCGCCAGCTGCTCGGATGACTATACAGCCAAGGTCAGTCAGTCAGTCGGTCGGTCGGTGTCGCCTTTAGCCGTACCGCCACACCGCTTTTCCTTGTCGTGACATTTATTCGGACTAGACGATTGCCACAGCCACGGCTATCAGTATGCATTGGTGTCGCCTTAAGTGATGTCATGTTGCCCTAGCGCTTCCCCTGTCGTGACGTCTCTTGGGATTAGACTAAACAGCCATGGGCAGTCGGTCGGTTGTGTCATTTGCCCTACCGCATCACCTTGTCGTGGCATTTATTCGGATTTCTACACGACCAAGCTGAGCCCTTGCCGATATGTCCCCTCTCACGCTATCCTAGCCCCAACTCCAAACACGACGAATGGTTGCTAGCGAGATACGTAGCACAGGCATTGGTTAATCGGTACTGCACGTTGTGTTTACCATCCATGGTCCTGACCGTAAGGTCAAACCGTTCCCGTTCGCGAGATAATGTACAGGCGTCTCGAGGACTGTTTTTTTATGCCATATGTGCATTACCCTGCTGCGGCTCCAGTCCTCCCAACGGAGGAAACCACAAACATCCTAATACGTCTGATGCATGCAGCGTGCTTGATGCAGCAAGAAGAGAGCTATGCGATTGGTCTGCACTGTCTCCTTCATTCCTGTCCCGGCAACGACAATCTGCAACTGCTACTGCTGTAACCCTGTGGCGTGCGCCCTGTTCATAATCTGCAATTTATGGGGGGCAGATCTGGAAAATGGGCCAAACGTCGTGCGTCCACAACTTGGAGGAGCACGACAAGGAAATCTACACGATCAAGTGGAGCCCCAGGCCAGAGAAGAAGCTCCTGCTGGCAAGGTACGATCGATGCTGGCGGTGGTGTCGTCGACTCAAATATGAGGATTTTACGAGGCGCAAGATTTTCCCTCCCATGTGCAACAGTTGGGACCGATATACGTGTGCTTTACTCCCCGTTGTTTTGCCGCTTTTTTATATATGCATACTCCGGAATGTGTATACGTTTACCTTTTCCATTCTTTTGTTCGATTGTTTTCGTGTATGCATAGCGTGTCTGGTTCTGTCGAAGCGTTTCAAAATCGATCGATTCTGTTGTTTTGGCAACACGCTTGTATGTAGAGTGTAACATGCGGGATGATCACGATGTTTTTCGGAGGTGGTGATCCGGCTCGAAGATACCGACCCATGGAAAGGACCATGGTTGATGTTTGCCACCACAATCTCGCCCCCCAAGCATCCCATGTTCGACGCGTTTCGTACGTGGTCTGTAGAGGTGTGGCACGTGGCACACGTTTCCGATGAAGACCTGGTGTCGGTTGGCGTCCAAGGAGATGGTGGTATTTGATGAATATCATGCTTGTGCTCGTGCTTACCAGCACCGCCGTGTCTTTGTTTATTTGTTGTTTTGGCGGTTTCACATTTGTCCACCCACCTTTGAATTTTTGGATCGTGATTAGTGATGGTGATGACTTTCTAGTCTGCTCTGGTCCACGGGGTGTCCAGTCAGTCAGTGAAGGCTGCTTGCTTGACGCAAGCCCGTTATGATGAAACTGTTTTATGTGTTTTCGTTCGTCACCCTTTGCCCGAAGTCTCTTGCACCCAAACGTGTTGTTCATAGCGCCATACAAACCGCCCTTGTTGTTTTTGGTGTGGCAGTGCTTCGTTCGATGCCACGGTCAAGCTCTGGGATGTGCACGCCGGCAAGGTGGTGTCCACCCTTCAGAGGCATCAAGACCCCGTCTATAGCGTGGCCTTCAGCCCATCAGGTGCTCCACGGCGGTGTGCCTATTAGTGGTGTTTTGTATTGTGTCGCGTGTGCGTCGTAGTTGTCGTCCCCATGCGGTTTAGCGAGAATGTCTTGTTGGAAACGTTTGGTGCTTTGGTTGCCACAACGCTAGACAGAGTTGCGCTAGTACAGAGTTGTGCTGGTGCTGTCACGTGCAAATAGGCACTTGGTGTTGTTTTGGTTTTGGGCGCTACCCGGCGCGTGAGTTGGTGTGTATGTCCTCTCCGCTGTTTGCGATCGTTAGGGTCTTGCTGTTGTAGACCTCGGCATATTGTAGTGTAGGCCCTATAGGGCGCGGTGCGGAGTAGACATGAGAGTCGACAACGACCAACACGAGGCAAGCGGCACGTGGAATGGATTTGTCGTGAGAACGTAGGAATTACATTCGACGGAGTATATGGGTACCGCAGAAGTCACAGCTCCGTTCGTTTTATTTTGCCAGAGAGGAACGCATCTTCCGAAAAGCGCACATAAAATATGAGTTTCGCTAGGTGCATGACTTTTCCGGGCAACTGCTGTCCCCGTTTTCTTTTGTTCCCACGGCGGACGTTTTGACAATTTCGACAACACCAATGCACCTGGTGCTCGTCACGGTCCTTTTCAAGACCCAGACCTGAACCATGTATCACACCTGATGCTCGTGTTTCTTCTTTCCTTTACTCCTACCTGATCGTAACCTCACCCTTTCCCGCCGACCCCGATCGTTTGTTTAGGCGACTACTTGGTGAGCGGATCTTTCGCCGGACATTTGTACATCTGGAGTGTGAAGGACGGCACTCTCGTCAAGAGCTATCAGGTACGTGGATTCAGCTATGTCATCGTTGCCGTAGTCAACATTATCTTGCCGCCGTCTTCCGATAGTTTATTTGCTCCTGATGCGGTCGAACTTCTTCGATCTTTCTGTTTTGTTCCTGGCTACCGCGAGTGTACGTTGATTGATGTTGGCATGTGCCAGGTCATTTATGCCCGGCGAAAGCAGAGTGTGTGTTCCGCCGTGGTTTCCCATTCCACTTGATGCTAACACGAAGCAAGTTTGCGTCTGCACGAGAACCGTTTGCCATCACGACGGAGTCCTTCTTTACATCGAGCACACCTGTTCAGTCCGCCAATCGTCCCTGTGCAAGAGGTGCCGTGCGGCCCCCAAGTACTCCATGTCTTATTAATATTTAGCTTTAAGGGAGTGTGTGTGGTGTGCACCACAACGGCGTGCCACACTTTGTGTTGAACGTTTCCGTGCGTATTCTTCGGGTCCGTTCCTCAACGTCAGCCTCGCGTCCAGAAGCCTATCCTGCCCAGTCTAAACATGAGCCCTCTCTCCTGTTGCCTCTTGATTTTTCTAAGGGGGAGGGCGACATCTTCGAGGTTGCCTGGAATTTCCGAGAGGATCGAATCGCTGCTTGTTTCTCTACAAGCACGGTGTGCGTGATGGACTGGCGTATGTAAGGCACCGACCCGGCAGAAAGCACATCCGGACCCAGCAGTCTTGGGTCGTTTTCGGACGTGCCGGTGCCGTTGTTGGCGATGCCTAGGCTGAGGGTGATTCTTTCCTGTCGAGTCTTCGATTCTAACCCATGCACACGAGAAAGCGCTGCTCCTGTTCTCGGTTGTTGTTGAACGGTCCATAGACGGGTAAACATGTTGGGATGACATTTTATCTTTGTCCCTTGACGGAGTTCAACGTTACCTTTTGGGGCTGAGCTAGCGGTTGTCGCGGCCGTGATGCTTCGAGGATAAGCCGTGCAATGATTATTCGAGTGAGCTTCGCGTTACTCTGCTAATGTATGCATTGCCTGCTGGTTGGCTGCCATGCGGCAGCAACCCGGCGGAGATGTGGTGGGTTGATGTCCTTTTCGGCATGATGTATCGTTGAGAGTTATATTTGGAAGCTGTCTGGGTTGGCTGTGCCCTGGGTGTTCATTGAGACCCGCGGAGCTGGGTGTTTACAACCGGTGCGGCTATGTTCCAAAATGACTACACGGCCGTTTCTCTGCTGTGACCATCCATGGTTTTGGCTCCGCCGGAGGTTGTTGCTGTTGTGTTGTGTTGTTGTATTGTGCTTTTCGTTCTCTTTCTTTTTCGGTTCATTTGCACACACACCCCCTCCCCCCCCCCCTCCTGATCTATCGCGAATTGTAGTTTTCATTCGTTATGTCCGGCGTATGTTGAAATTTTCGAGGAGGATGGGAGTGAAGTTAACAAAACTGAATTTAGCACTGTATTCTTCTGTCCGTAAAACTATGTGCTTGTTGCGTTGTTTTTCCCATGTTGCTTTCAGTCTAGCTCGGTTCGATAATCTTGGTAAAATAGCTTGTGGATAACGTCTAGGGTAACGGAGCGAAAGGTCCGCACAGCAAGTAGGTTACGTGACTGATCGATACAAGCGTGGGCGGGGGTGCCGTGTTGGACCAGTCGACCAGACATTGTTGTACCGTATATTTTTTTTTGTAGACAATTGATCACAAAAGTGGACGAGCGTGATGTGAGCGAAGGGAGGAGCTCCGAGCGAATTGAATATGCATTCGAAATTATGATGAAAGAAAGAAGACCGTGGAAACAACCTCCATCATCAGTTCATCAGAAGGACAACACTACAGCAGTACATGTCCTTTGCACGCTGTACAAATTCGAAGTGCGTACGTATTGCATGTTTCGTCTAAAGTCTTGTTTTTTTTTCTTCAGACTTGATCCCAACGTGAATTATTAATCTTGATGTATGCAGCCAAATGCGGCAAGTTTCGTTTGATGATGAGCCGTCCAGTACCGGGTGGTAAAAATACGTCGTTTGACAAAATATTTCTGGTAGAACCTACCGTCGTCAATGGTATATACGATTGATTACTCTTCAGCAAAATCGGTGACGGCGCCGAAAATCGCGGCGTTAGAGCCCACCTTATCCTGAGGAGAACTTTCCGAAAAAGCGTCATTACATTCTACAAGATTCACTTCGTAGCAGTCGGGCTGTGCAAATTGGCGCACCGGGGTATGGTATCTTGCGTAACCTTCGAATTCGCATGGTCGTAAAAAATATGATAGCAAAAAAAGAATAGTTGTTGTTGACACCGAAGGATGGCTCAGCTTCGTCCTCACATCTCGCGAGCTGTCCGAATACATGGCATACCCTCGGACTGCACTACTGTGTGACGACAAGGGCTTGGTACGGAGGGAGAGAGAGAAAGAGTAAGAGAGAAGTTGTGAGAGCGAAGTCTTCATGCGGGGATGAGAAGAGACCATCCCCGGGGGTTTTAAGGCAGAACTATTTGTGTCCCCTGTGCCCCGTGGGTTGGCGTGCTTTGAAACCCACCCCCACGAGTGGTGCTCTCAGCAGCAGCGGCAGCAGCAGCAGCAGCAGCAGCAAGAGGTGTATCACCTCAAGCAGCCGGTCGCACCATGGTAAGTGACATTTCTCCTCCCGCCGTACCAGGTGACCACCGTATAGTGACGACACCGATGTGTCCTTGGGTGGTAGCGGCGTTGCCATCTAGTAACCAGGAGACAGACCGCGAACTGGCGCTTGTCCCCGACTCCTGGATGCAGCGTCGTGTGGGTGTCCGCCTGGCCAGAGCACAAGACACTACAGAGTATCCCTCCGGACGTGTGTTTGGTGGTGTGTTGTGGGAGGCATGTCTAGAACTTCGTTGCACGTTTTCTGAAACCACCTCCCACTGTTTCGCGATTGCTGTCTTTGCTCCCTGTGCCTGCTCTCGCTTGGCTGGATGTCGGCGTGGTTGACACCTTGGCTCTCACTGGTGCATGGCTTTGCTTGGGGTTGGGTGCGTCGTGCCCACTATTGTTGCAGCCGAAGCAAATCCACGACATCAGGGACTTCCTGCAAAAGGCTCGCCGGTAAGAGCTCGTGTCTATCGGGGTTTGCCTCGTTAGCAACGCTTTTCCATCTCGGCCAACTTGCAGGCGCGGGCAATGCTGTGGTGCTCGTTCTCGAAAGACACCCCTCTCTGCTGCGTCTCTGCTGTGTGTCCTCTATACACAACCTTGGCGTTCAACGCGTCTTGACGACTGCTGCTGTATACAAACAGGTTGTCTCTCTATGCTTTTAGGGCCAGCCTGCTTAGGCAACGGCACGATTAGCGTTTGCCTACGACATATCCCTGCTGTTGCTGTGCAAATGTACTTGTGTACAATACAGCAGTACAACTACTGCTTGCACATGCCATTCCCGTTGTAGCCGACAGCCGGTGGCCCCGCAGGTGTAAGACGTACACTGCACGCAGTGTTCGTAACGCCATGTTGACACAAGTGTCATGGCTCGCCTGGGTACCGCCGTGTATGTGCTCTCTCATCCCTTCCCGGAGCTCTGTTCTTTCGCCGGGATCAATACGCGCCAAATACCCTGTGTTGCCGCCTTGTCTGTCACCTCCAAAACTCGAAACGGGCACCAGCGGGAGGGGCCCTTCTCTGCCATAATCTGCAATAGCGGGGGCGCGGCGTACATGGCGCGTGCCTCAGTATGCATAAGTGCGCCGTTTCTCCCCCAACTCTCGCACACAGCCGTGTATCCAACATGCAGTTGTAATTTTTTCCAATCTTCTGGGTGTGGTGCTTTGGTTGATTGGGTTGGTAGGTTGATACATCAGGGTACAGCAGTCTCGCGGCTTGTGTTTTGGAAGGAAACGAGCACACCCTCCACGACACATGGCGACTGCTGTCTGCTCGTAACTGCCGTAGATAAGCCCTGTTAACGTGGTTACAGGGAGGAAGCAACTTCTGCATCTGAGTAAACATTAACCAGAGAGCGCGCCACGAATTGAAACACGCAGCAGCGCGACACAGACAGCTACAGTGGTTTCCCAAAGGACGAATCCTACTTTTGGAACCCCAAGCACTTGGTTGGCTGCACTACAAGAATACGACGGCTATCGCTCCACCTTGTTCCAGCAAGAAACACCACTAGTAGAGAATTGGAAACGTTGGAATTCTCTCGCCTGTCCCACCGTAACAAGGTCCCACCGTTGTAAGTCGCTCTTCAGCCGCTCTTGTCGGCTTGGGGGCACACCCTAACTCCCAACTTAACCTCAGGTACCTCAGGTACAAGTTTTCATTGAAGGCATGCACGTGAGTGTACCGCTTTTTCGCGACGTCGGACTGTAGCTCTGCGCATCCCCGAACGGCAGTTGATATATGCTGCTAGCGAAAGCAATCACTTCCGCTTAACCTGCCATGTCCAGCCGCTACTGCATGCTACCTCAGGGCACCGTCACCGAGGAGAGATCTGCTCGAAGTATTACACGTTCACACAAGAACGAAGGACCGCGGCAGTTGTAACATAACAGGCCAGCAGTTGCACGTAGATGGAGAGCAAACCCGTTGCACCGGTGCCCGTACGCACTGTTTTCGAGCGGGATCAACGGGGCGCCTCGAGTGGATATTGATATGTATTGCAGGCGTGGGTTTTGAGGTTGACCTGCGGACCTGGCTGGGCCGCACTCGTCTGCTGGGTTGACGTTAACGCGAGAATCGACCACGTGAAAGAACACCAAGAAGGACACCAACAGAGCCGTATGCCGAGTGCTGCTCCAGTTCACCGTGTCTGCATTGTTGGCGCTAGGTGGCCATCGATCGCACACGTCCCTTTATCTCACACGATGTTTATCGCTGGCGTGGCGGATTCCATATTTTGGCGAGATCAGATATGGCTCTCTATTGCCCTGCTTCCGTGTCTAATGTGGTTACCTTCTGTGCGTGTGCTCTGTGCTCTGCTCCTGCCTTGACTGTGCCTCCCAACGCAGCCGCGATGCCAAGTCTGTGAAGATCAAGAACAACAAGGCGACTCACTCGACCAAGTTCAAGATCCGCTGCTCCAGGGTGAGTCAAGTTGGTCACAAGACTCCGCCTTTGGATGCCCAAATTACTCCCACATGCTGTCCTTCCCGCAGTGCTTGCAGCACATTGTTGCCTGGATGTTGTAGGTAATTGCCTCAGCAGCTTGATCTAACAGGGTCCAGGTTCAGAGTTTCACCCTTTACAAGGGAAATAGGGGTCAGGACAGGCAAGAAACGACTGCTGGTACGCTTTTTTTCCCGCACCCGTTTGTGGTTCTCTTGCGGATCTTTACTGCAATCGTTCTACAGTTTTAGAAGGCCGTCTCCAGTGTATACCATACATGGTATTTAGGTACACATTAAGTTTTCTTTCGTGACGCACGAATGCTATGTGCTTCGGGCGGCAACGCTGCCGGCACGTGCAACGAAACTCCGTTGTTTCATCGCTTGCTTTTTTTTTGTTTTGCTGACATCGGCCGGTTGTTGCTAGAATTTTTATCTCATCTCTCATGTTTGCCGTTGAGAAGAAAGCGGCAGGAAAAGCCATTTAGTATGCACGGAAAAGTGTTTTCCAAGTGTACGTACCCCCTATCGCATATCGGAATCCTCCCACAGAAATGGATTTGAAGGTCAGTTCTCGATGGAGGGCGACAGCTGTGGTTTTTGTTTTGCCGTTTGAAGACAAACCTGGACTCCGATATTGGGTAGCAGGCTAAGACATTGGCGACTTGTGCAACTTGCATGCGCATCAGTTGGCACTATCTTGCGAGGTATTCTTTTCAGCCATCTAAATCGTCCCGTTCCAAACTGTTGTTTCTCGTTTCCCCCAGCTGGGCTCGGCTTTTACATGTGTGTAGTAGTCCACCTGTATGCGTATGGTGTCACTGGGCTTCTCATCATACACCTCCTCATCCCTCGCCATTCCTGATTCTTTTTTCCTTTCGTGCTGTGCTTGACTCGTGGCACTTGCAAGTTCACCTGTAAATAGTAGTCTCACCTTCTCATCATACACCTCCTCATCCCTCGCCATTCCTGATTCTTTTTTCGTTCATGCTGTGCTTGACGACTCTTTCAGCTCCTCCCCTCACCCCGTTGTTTCTGTTCCCCCCTTTTTCTCTGCTCTCCCTTGTGAACGCTGTGTGTGTTGCTGCGCGCAGTACCTGTACACCCTGTGCGTCACCGACAAGGAGAAGGCCGACAAGCTCACGCAATCGCTTCCCCCCGGTCTTCACAAGAAGCAGCTCCAATGATTCATCTCATCCGTCTCGTTCAGACTGGATTCGTCTCAAGGTTTCCTAGCTTCCTGATGACGGGGTTGACTTTGCTGCCGGGACCGGACCTCTCGAATCGATGGGTTTCGTCTTCTCTGCTGTGATGGCTCGGGGATGGGAGGGAAGGGGGGGATGTTCATCTCCAATCGACCCGTTGTTGTCACTTGCGTGATTATGCACGGGCTCGCGCCCTTCCTTTCTCGAGTGCGGATGCGGAGGGATAGCGTTGACACTGCTTGTGTTGGAAGTGGCTGGGATGTTGAAGGTTGGTCGGTTGTTAATGCCGAGCATTTGAGATTTGGGATTTTAAGGGAGGTGCCGAGCTGACTGCTGCTCTCGAAAAAATATGATTTTTTTGAAACACATTTGGTTTTTGTCTCGTCATTTGGTGGGTTCATCGCATTGCTGCTGCACCAAAGGTGCGCATGCATCAGCTGCATGCTAGCAGCATCACCGCGCCTGTGTCCGCCGAGCGAACTGACTGGCAGTGCGAGCGGTGGCCGTGCTCTCCACGACGCGTGTGTGTGTTCGAAGGTTTCATTCGTCTGCCATCACAAATCACGCTATGATGCTTCTCGTCACGTACTACATGGTGACATTTTCCCTCATCTCCACAGCAAAGGGCGGCGATCCGGACGGCAGTGATCCTCACCCTTACGAAAACAGGAATTTGTAGTCTCTTTGTCACACGATGCATACTCTTCCGGACACTCGCCGCCTGAATACATATGCGTGAAGCGCCTGCTAAGAATATGCCGATGGGTTGACATCTAGGAGAAAACTACGAGTAGCCCTTCCGTACCAGTGTACCCGGCAGCAAACCATGGGTGAATGACAGATGCCGCATTCAACCTGACCGTTTTTATTTATTGGCAGGCGTTCTTGTTGTAGAGAGCCGAGACGGCTTTGACCGCGTGATCACGGCAACGAAGCTGTTTGAAACTTGAGCCCGGTGGCATCACTCAATTGGACAACACTGGTCAGGTCGAGCGTTCAGTCAGGTTCGAGCCTGCGATTGAAGGGAAACAGTCTGAAACCCGGAACAAATCCGGGGATTCGAACTGGGATCCGGCGAAACAAGACTAGTGAAGCATTCAAAGTCAACGAGAGGGCCGGAGCTCTGTTGCCTCACTACATCTAAACAACCGCATTTTGAACGTTTGTGTTGGTTCAACCAGCGCGACTTGTTACATGGCCACAGGCTGACTACCTCCCAAACTGGGCAGTAACTACTATTTACGAGATTAGAGGACCCATCAATCAACTCAAAGCGACACTACAATTCCCGTGATGACGTCCCAAAACGTCCGACGCCGCGGGTGATCCACGTCGGACGATGACCGTCGGTGATAATAGAGATATGCATAGGACCACCTTCTCCGCTCGACACGCGAGGCCAAACAAGGCAAACTCCTTAGTTCCGCAACTTTCAAGGTTTTTTACATCGAGAGGGGAGAGGTTGTGTCCTTCTCGCACGCACCGATCGATGACGTTCTGTCCCGAAATCAACCCGCAAAAGAATGTACTTCATCTGACCAACCCCCTTTGGCATGAGGCATGAGACACAAAACAACGACTCAATCCATACTTTCTCAACGCGGGACTCATCTATCTACACATGCTCTACCCCTGCGTCACAAAAACTCAACAGCCCGCTACACAAATATACGGAGAGTTGTGCGAGAGCACTTGTTCCTCAGAACGACGACGGTTGGTCATGCTCCTACGTGGGCTGGAGAATCATCACCTCCACTTCTTCCTCTCCAACGTTGCTCCATGCACCATCAGTAGTAGTGCCAGCGTCACCGGCAGAAATGTCTCCCGAGGACTTGCCACACCACCAATTGTCGCCGGGCATAACCCCCCCGCTCGACAACTTTGCGATGGTCATGGCAACAGCGAGGTACCCAAACGGCACCGGCACCATCGACCCGTCTCCACCTCCCGCATCGAAGACACTGCCGATGCACTCCCCAGGGGCAAGCTTTACCCGGTAGGCGCGCAGGACACCATTTTCGAAGCACAGGTCCCGTTGCAAGGTGCTTGGGAGTGCGGGGCTGAGGCTTGCGGGTCTGGGGCGATCCGCTTTGATCTCGATATCCATGCAATCTAGCTTGCGGTTGCCCACGCAGACCTGAAAACAGATGGATAAGTCATGCAGTGCTTCTTCGGGGTGAACGCTTGGCAGGGTTGGGGCTTTTTGGGAACGGAATGTAACGCACAGAAGATCCAAACAAATCACCTTCAACATCAACAGGAAGAGCAGATACATGTGTCCAACGCCCTATTTCTACTGGACAAGCGGGCTTCTCGAACGTACCAAAGAACTTACAACGCCTGCTATGTCCAAGCGTATTTGTTAAGCAGCAGGTTGGGGAAGATGAGATTGCTTTACAACCACGATCGGCAGCGGCCCACCCCCCGAGTCAATCCTGTTTCAAATGCTTTAACAGTGTTTTCCGGGGGCGACACCACCAACAAGAGCAACACGCCAGTTTCTTTAACTGGCACTACTGTATCCACTGAATACCTTCATCGCTGTATGAAAGAGTTGTATGCATAATAATAGCAGTACCATTGGTATGTTTGCTTGAGTCCTAGATTCTCTCCGTTCGATCATGCCCTGTGCACCCTCTGGCGTTGACACTCTGCAGTGGCATACCGAATCCAACTTGAAGATCCGCTGGTTCTGTACGATAGTTGGTGGCATTCCACCCTTCTCTCGAATATGCCTCTTGCGTGGGATCAAACATGAAATCAAGACGATCAAAAAGACACGGGATACCCATGCATAAAAAAGCTAGCCATCAGCGGGTGAGGCGTTTAATCTGTACGACCAAACAGCACTGGTGTGGCTGCTGTTGCTCTCCTCGCCTTGTGGATGATGGGATTGGCCAGATGATCTCCCCAGTAGAACGACCCCGCTTCGAGTTCCACCTCAAAGGGTTCCTTTCCCACCACCTCGTTGCGAATCTGAGCACAGCAGTATAGTATGTACAGTAGCCACGACATGACGCATCAAACAAGACAGCAGGACAAACAACGGCGAGAACCGATAGAGCGTGTCAGGTGCCGCGACGCTCTTCAAATGCTGCATTGCACACTATAGCATATGCTGTTGAACCAAAACAACTGGTCACACTTGTTTGCAGATGCTCGAATTGCTACCTCTCTGCCAAACTGCGCGCTGGCTGTGCCAAGAGCAATCGGTCCAACCTGGGCGGTTCTGAAGAACAAGAAGAAGCTGTCCTGACTGTGCCGATGATACATAGTGTCTTGGTTCATGGGGCAGTCGACCTTAAGAACCCTTACATACTCGTTCTCAAACACGGTGGGATGCAGCGGTTCGTCATATACTTCCACAAACTCCGGCGCTTGTACTTGGGCATCCTTCGCAACAGCCGAAACCGGAGCCTCTGCTGTGGTCATAGCTCAAGCCTGTTAAACCGTGGGTGCATAGGGTAGTGAGGGAAAAAGCGCAAGCTCATGCGGTGAAGGTGTGATGCCGATCACGCACAAACTGAAAGCTCCATGGCTCCCGTATCGTTGAAGTATAGCAGCTACAGTGTAGTTGGATATCTCTCGTGGGGGTTGCTAGCTGTCTGTCTGTTTGTCCAAGGTACGCATCGTTGAATCAGCATGATCTCTTCGCTCATCATGTATACAGTAGTCTAGAGGTACCTGGGCAACAAATCATCAGCACGAGGCCAGCTAAAGCCCTCTACCTACCAACACCACGCACGTTCTCCTTCAATGAGTACCAGCGGGCATCGTTGTTTGGGTACAATGGCCGTCATGGCGTGTGTCGAGCTCCTGACTCGGGGACGGACTCCTTTCGTCAGATCGTCGACTCACCACTCGGTTGTGTCTGAAGTAAACCGCGCGAGCACGTTCAGATCCACCTCTACCGTTCTTGCGCCCTATACTCAAGCCCAGTAGTCACCTATACAGCAGTGGACACACTGAGGAGAGAGAGACTGGCGTGAGGAGCCTAGGCCCGTGCGTTAGCCCCGTCGCGCCCGCGGGTGAGGTGCGCGCGTGTATGTCGATCGTACCCCCCCAGGAACGCCTCGGGAACCAACAAATATATTGTCCGCTTTCATCTGCTGCTGTTCACTGCTGCTGCTGTTTACTACCCAACGTCCGAGCGATGGCGGTGCCACAGCTGCAGTTTAAGGACTGCGAGCTAGACTCCATCACTCTTTCGTGGTCAGTGTGGCCACCGCGCCTACGGGCTCTTTCAGTGTTTCTCTTGGAAATCGTAATCGAGAGTACCACGTGCGCAATATATACAGCAGTGTACTGTACTGCAGTATGCATACACTTTGCAACAACCAACCAACTTTCCTTGTAGTTTGGCGACGACCTCTCTCTCTCCCCCCGCCCACACTTAGAACACCGCGGGTGCATTGATATGCACCAGCAGCATCAACCAACAGCACGTACCAGCAATGGGGGGTTGTTGTTGACCACAGGCACACGCACTTTTTCAAAAACAAAACTTCCCTCCGCTCTCGTTGATCGTCGTTGTAACTCGACTCGGTGGCCATGGCATTTTCAGGGAGCGGGCCGAAGGCACCGGCTATAAACTGGAATTCCGGGAGATTCTTGTTTCGGTGAGAGATGTACAGGGTAGACTGCAGCACTAGACACGAGTTTAGACTATTATAGCCTACACTGCTGTATACCGTAAGAGTGGGAGAGATGGCACCCCCGTGTTAGTTTTTTTTTGTAGCGTATTTCTCCACAACTATATAGTAGGAGGGTGCGAACACCAACCGATACCTCTCAGGAAAGCCCTCGACGAGATGTTTCCAAAACTACCCTTTTCGGCAGTGGTACCCCCCTGGTTGTGGAGAAATACGCTATACATAAACGCCAACACGGGGGTGCCATCTCTCCGACTCTTACGGTAGTCTATGCAAAGTTGGCAAAGTATTTTTTTGTTCTCGATCCCGTACTCTCCCGTCTGACCGCCGGTCGTGAAGACATGGTGTTTGCTGCTGCTGTCGCAAGATGCTTTGCTCGGGTCGAAAACAGCAAGACGCTCGGTTTTACATGTACATTACCGTAAGCACGGAGCAGATCATATCGTGGACTGGTGCAACCTGGCGCTGGAAAAATTGAAAACTGAAACTTCGTGTATATCTATCCGACATGTGTACATATATGTGGTACGAAGCTGGACTACGGAGCTGGTTTTCAAAATCTCTGTCGTGTCCAAAAACTGACATTGTAAACATTTTGTCTGGAGCATGTGTCTCACCCGTTTCACCCAACGCTGCTGCCGTCATCAGTAATCTGCATCGCTTTGCCGCTGCACAACCCTTCAGCGATCACGCGCGCCCCTAATGAACACCACTCTCAACCCTCGCTGCTCGCGAAACTCTTCTTTTTACAGTAAAGACGTTGTTGTTGGACTGATGGGGGGGTCCTCTGTTGTCTATAACGCTACCGCCAAAAAAGTGCGGGTCGGTTAGATGCTGATTTGAACGCTCGGCTTGGGTACAAGTCACAGTTCATTGTTCAGAGGACTTACAGAACCCGTCTCATGACTCAAGTTGAGGGCATACACCACAGAGAGACGTTTGGGGAGGGGGCTCAGGGATATATAACAGCAGTTCCGTGTAACCCCCTTCTGTGACGTCGGTTCAAACGGTGTCGCTGACAAGAAAAGGTTAAACTGACATCTTGAGCAGGTAGGATGGGCGAGAAGAAGAATTTGTGGTGTGGCCGGCAGAGCCGGACCTGTCTCGTTTGACACAGCAGTTCGCAGAAGAGTTTCGGTTTCGACTGTCACCTATCAGGTACTTAGGACCGACCTTCTTTTAAAAACCCATTTTCGTCAAGTTTCGACAATCCTTGTAACCTGTCACGCGCTGTGCCTCGTCCTGTTGCCGTGCTACAGGATTGGGCAGGATGTCGCTCGATTGCAATAGCGCCAGAACAATCTTCGTCTACGGAGATGAGCACCAAGGTTACTGGTCTCAACCCTTCTTCTTCCTACATTTTTCGGCTCTACACGGTTACAGCTGCCGGCCAGGAGGTGGGCCCCGGGCCAGAAATCGCTTTTGATACCGAAGGTATGGTCCGCTAATATGTACATTTTTTGCATCAAATGGCTACTATAGATGGTAGGGCCCAGAACGGAGTGTAATATGGTGCTCTCCAAAGCGTTGCAGCAGGAGGTGTACCCGGTTACAATCTCAAGAAAATGCGGCGAAGAAGGAATGGATACCTATAGGATGGCAGCATTGTACAAGTGGGTACAAGTTTGGACAACCTTTCTATGCCGTGAAGAGAGGTGAACAACTTGAGAAAAATGCTAACAAAAGATGACGCGCGGATCTACGCTGGGAATACAGTAGGGACATTGTTCTAGAAGACTCGGGACATCAAAGTACACACAGTTGCACATATTTTGGGTGGAGATTAGCCATGAGCATGACTGACCTAGACCACGTGTACATACCAAATGGTAGGTGAGTATGGAACAGGAAGCTAATGATGCGGGGGGTCTCGGAATACATCGTTTCCTTCACGGATGCCCAGAAAAGTTGGACACAACGGTTCGGTGAATGCGCTATCAATAGCAAAAGCTTGACAGCGTCTAGCCGACAGTATCTATGCCGACCGTGCGAGAAGTGCGATGATGGCGACAGACGGCGACGACATCTGGTTGTACTGATATCTTGCAAGGAGTTGCACGGGGAGGTGCCGCACGTGTTTTCGTCACGGGTCTATATGTGAATGCCATGACGATGATGATGCACTACAGAAAGGAACGCAGGGTTTCGATTCTGCTGATGATTCTACGCAGTGTGCGAGAACTTGGCCGGTTCATCCCGGTGTGCCGCAAATTATTAATGTTCCGGTTCGTATATTTCCCCCCACCCACATACATCAGTTTGAAGCAAAGAAGCTATAATTTCGCGTGTTGTGTTTCTCGTTGCCTGTCCGCGACCTTCCCACCCAGTTGTGTCGTGCGCACCAACAAATAAATCGTGCTGCACGATTTCCTAACGATGGATGAGTCAAGACTACCGGAGAAAGTAAGTGAGTGGGTGAGAAGCAATAAAGTTGACTTCAAAAAGCCTGGCGTCGACGTTATCTTGTTCCAATAGAAGCCCGCGGCGTGCGCGATTGCTTACTGCCCTTCTACTCTAAGCTCCGTTTTCGTTGATGGGCCTTCTTCATGCGTCGGCAAGGGTTCGTTGACTGTATTTTGGGAAGCAGGGAAGTTGCTGTGCTTTTTCGCGAATGGCGTCGTTTCGTGTCTGTCATGCGAGACCAGGTGGTCGTAACGTATCAGGTGTCGATGCCCATCATTCCAGGTGTTAGTTTGTAGATATGTTGAGGTTCTGCATGCACAGGGCTCAAGCAAGGTAGCGCATGAGGCTTCGGCATTGGCCGTTTTTTGGGGGGGGTTTGTCGTCTCTACGTTTTTTCTCTCTGTTACCCAAGGTGTCATCTGGGCGTTATCCTTGTAGCCTACTGCTGTTGCTAAGCTGTAATATTTTTGTGTGCTATAGATGGGCTCTAGGCGCGCTTGCGGTGTCTCTCCTTTGGGTGCTTCCCGTCTGTCTGTTGTTGTGTTGGAAACCTCAGCTGTCAGTGTTCGACCGTGATCTGCTATCCTCTCTGAGAGAGTTGCATATCGCGATGCATCGTGCGGGTTTGTCTAGGGGAGCGCGAGTCATAGCTGGTTGAGATCATGGCAGCCTCGCCTTGTTGATTTTTCTGACAACCAATTCAGCCTGTAAGAATAAACCATTCCCAAGAAAGTAATCGAAACTCTGGAGAACCAGTGAATGTTGGCACTCTGCGAATTCCCTGGGTAAGACGGCGTTGAGATTTTGAGCACGGTGCCTAGTACCGTGCCTAGTGTACTCACCGCAGCAGTCAGAAACACAATCATCCCTTGCTATTTGTTTCGTAACAACTGGAGGCCCACACTTCATTTGTGAATGTGGACTATTGAAGAGTCTTCGGAGTTTGTCACCTTTGGCATATGTGTCACACGTCCCACTGTATCTTGTCGCGAGGCATGCTCAAATCCAATCCCGCGGGGCGTTTTTGGATTCCCCACTCGCCCTCTTTTCAGTACCCAAATTCAGAGTCCGGTCCCATACCACTTAAGGCATATGTTTAATGCGACGAACGAAAAGAGGAACAAGAATGCGTGTTTGCCAACGTATCATTCGACACGCTTTTGACAGGAGGGAAAAACAGCAACGAGCGCTCAACTGCCAGAAACATCCTCTGGGCTCAGTACCTGGTATGTTGGGGTTGTTTATAGTTTTCGGTTGTACAAGATGGGCCGATCGACGCGAACTAAAAACTGACTGGATGCCATTTCTCACGTATTTTACCCTTTTTTACCTGAAATGTGTTGACAGTTTCTTGTGAAAGACATCAAACGTTCTCAAGGAGCTACGAGTGGCTCTGCGGCGATCTGTGCGTGTGTGGCCGGCCTGAGTGCAATCTCGCCACACATTTTTGTCATCTCCCTCCTACTCTCCTTTCTCCTATACTCCAGTCGCGCCGGATACTCATACGCCGACTACCCTCTGTGTCCCGTTCAGCCGCACATGCTCGACTGAGCTTCCCTTCCTCCTTTTGCCAGGCGACCATGTCTTTACTGCCCCCCATTCACATAGCACCCCAAATACAGATAGCCCCCAAAAGGTACGCCGCGGTAGACAAGATGGCCAGGGCCCATGCGCTCATGAAGAACATCATCTCGTGCACCGTCGGAACTTCGCAGCTTCGGAGAAAGCACCGTCTGTGAGAACCTACCCGTGGTATATACATCGCGGCCACTCGTAGCATCACCTTAGGCCAAAACTAGAGGAAACTAGAGGTTCTGTACCATGACACCTGACCCTCCACCTCCGCTGCGAGAATCAGCGAAGGACGTATGCATATAACAGCTTGCAATTTGCAGGGAAAACTAGCGATGGCAACAGCACTACTGTATGTGAACTGCCCGCGTCAGGTTCTTCTGGTCGAGGCTCAAAACACTTATTTTTCCCGTGCACCCATTGCACATTTTCATTGCACACTTCTACTGTTGATACGCCTGGTCCGGTTGTGATTGTTGTGCTTATTGGTTAACCGAGGCGCATGTGTGGTTGTGCGAGAGAGTGGAAATTGATCTGGGGTGGTGGAATCACAGACGGGACTCTGTTCGTTGCCCACGGCCAACGCGGCAACGGCGGCTGCGGTGCGTTTAGTACGGTATTGCACTCTGGCAGGGCGAGAGGTCGAAAGCGGTGTTCTAATAGCAGCAGTCGTTATTGGCAGCGAACGTGGGCATACCAATAGTGCGTGATGATGTAGTGAGCAGCTGGTAGTGAGGCAGACCGGGTCTATTGAAGCTCTGCGGAATCTGCGAATCAACAATCAAGGACAAGAAATATTCCGAAAATTCTCGTCCGAACCAAACCATTTTTTGGTTGTCCCGAACCGGTAAGTACGGCAAGTACAAAAATACTGTAGTCCCGAGCAAGCTGCCCACACCTCGCGGGGCATTCTCAAACGCACCGCAACTTTCCGCACGGCACCAGTCTGCTTGCTGGTGCCCCTGCTGTGCCCACACGCACCCTATGATCATTCCATCTCTCACACCAGCCGTCCTATTCCTCACTGCACCAAATCTTCGATCCTTTCATCACACCAACATGGCGTCTCAACTTTCGGTCGACAGGTAAATTTACGCGAAATGCGAAAACATGACGAGAGGTTGAATCACATGAATCACGAGCGTCCGTCCGCGTGCTTCCGCTTCGAGCAGGCGGTACAGCAGTATGCATGGCACCAGCCAATAGTAGGGTTTTCTGCCGTACTCGCACCCTTTGTCTACTACTGCTGTCGATCCAGGGTTGTTGCAGTGAAGATGAGATTCGTTCGTTCGGTTTCCGTACCTGCAGCAGCAGTGGCTACGCTTTTTGAGCTGAGACAGCTAGCAGTCGCAGCCGGTTGCAGTGGCAACAGCGTCCACCGTTTTCATTCAGAGATATGAAGTATATCCAAGCGTAGGCGATCTGTACGGGCAGGCAGGAGACCGCAATATCACGGTCGTGATTTGGTGAGGACATCGCGATCGTGATCAGCACGTGACGCTGCTCTCGACACACTCTAAGACTACAGCAGTAGTCTAGACTCGTAGTGATCGTACAGCTGATAATGCCTGCAGTGTTGAGCACATGATACGTTGCCGATCGATGTCTCCATCCCGCCAATCCCACGCAAGTTTAAGTGCGTTTGGGCGTGGGCAGAAAGAGCAGAACCAGGGCTTGGTCAAATATCAAGTAACTGAGGCAGGAAACACATGGGCCCGGAATACGTGTGCATGTTGCCCTCAGACTGCGACACCCATGCGTTACAAACACACAACTTCGCTTTTACACGTTTTCCCCGATGCATGCCACGGTCCGTGTTCACTTCCCAGGAGCGTGCGGGTCAGCGTCCACACCAGCGGAATGGAGTGGGCACCGTCTCCATCTCCCTCTGTTTGGAGGAAGCGAGTTGCTCTGGAAGGCCCCCAAGAGTCTGGCAGAGTTACGTCTGTGGTGAGCGACGCTCGCGCGCGAGACCGCCTAATGTTGAAAGCTGTAGCTGAAAAGCAAAGAAACAGCGAGGAACGCTAAGAGGGTCGAACCGATTGCGCGAAGAGCAGCAAGTTTCAGGCACTCGAGTAGCTCACCGAATGAAGTAGCGATCCCCTTGTTGCTCATGGCGCGCCGCATGTTTGCGTCTGCTCCACGAACTTTGCGAGGGTTCTAAAACATTGTGCAATTTTCTCTCAACTTGTCCTTACCTTGTTTCCCCGTTGTCTCCTGTTGGACCTTTTCGCCCGCGAGGTGCGCTACGACGCCAACAGCCAGTTTAATGAGCATGGTCACCCAGATGGTGAAGAGATCTTGGTCCTTGAGGGTTCGTGGCAAGGTGACCTTTCGTGCGCATTGAGTCCTGTTTCTTTGGCGTGTTCACCGGTGGATATCGAATCAACGGCGAAAACTACTGTAACTTGGCAAATGGCACTGTTTCTGCTTTTTCGCTGTGTCATATCCTAGCAGGTAGGCCGTCCTGGCTCGTTCTCCTATGGTTTTAATGTGTCCCTTGATGCCCCCTCTAAGAAACGTTGAATACTCTTAAGAGTTTTCCCTTGGCCTTCGCTGTTACCGGACCTAACAAGATCACTCTGTCCTAATGCATAAAACACTCCAATGTTCCACACGCAAGCTATCAACTGTTGTAGGTCGTCGTTTGGCAACTCTCGTTGACGATTAACGAGACGTCGTTCTTTCAGAGATCGAGCTTGCGCTTTCACGCCCCCCGATTTTCCGTCAGGATAACACACCGTATCGCGCTCGCCCTATACTCTGCCCTGTTCCCCTCTTTCCCTCTGCCTCTTCTCTTCCCTCTCACCCGCGTGGTGTGTGTGTTGGTCTACGTTCTCTACGTTGGCGTCCGTAAAATTGACGAAGATGCCAACGGAGACCATCCCGCCGGCACGTACATGCTCAATCCGGAGGTACGTGACGCGGATTGGTTCAAACGAAGTCGGAGTGTGGCTGCATGCGTTTTGTTTGTGAGGTCCCGATGTCCTCGAAGACCCCCCAAGATGTTTTGTAACGTTCTGCTCCTCAGAGCTGGTCTCTCATGCAGCTGCTATAAGAGCTACCGCTACGCGCCAAAAGGGCACGCTGTATCAGAAGACGTACCACGCTATCGCGCTGGCCGTAACTCTGTGACCCACCCCTCTCCGCCGCCTCTTCAGTTTCTATCCTCCTTGTACACGATATTGTGGGTGGCTTGTGAACACAGGCTACATTTGGGTGACAAGCTCATGTGGCTACCCACCACGACCACCCACGAAAACAACATGAACAACAGGATGAACAGCAAGGCTTTGTGCGGCAAGAGTTCGCGCTCCAACGATCTTGGTATTGTCGTGAAGTTTCCTCCCTCCCCCCTCACGCTCCGCCCCCTCGGTGTTGGCCATCGGGGTTAGGTTTTCGTCGCTTGGTAACGACGTTGTAAAACAAGCGGATCACTTCGTGAGCTCGACAACCATGTTACCACTTTATTTATACGTTTTATTTTTTTTGCCTCTGTTTTTTTTGCGGTAACCATAAAGGTCGTCGAGAATGTTGTACGGGGTCAAGAAACCTCACTCCGCGCAAAGGGGATGATCGCACCACGTTGTATTAAAATGGCCAAGCACCCTCGAGGCAGTTACACAGTGCTTATAACTGTCGCTGCAAGTGAAAGCACCAGAACATAAACTATGTCATACGCAGCTGTCATCCGTACGCAAGGAAGTAAGCCAAGATGCCGAACACCCTTAGCAGGATGCAGCTCACCCTTCATGCGACTCGCCGATTGCGTAACGGTGCTTTGCACTTGGTGATGTGAGAGCCTGGTCCGGTGAGAACCCGACATGCTCCGTCCCGGTTTTGTAGGAATGCGAGGTCAATGGTCTAACGACTACGGCATGCACGACTATTGAGTACCCCCCCCCCCCCCTCCCGCTCTGTTGCTCGGCCACCCCCACTCGACACGTTTGCAGGGGTTCCGTCACGCCCCGTGCTCCAGGGACGGTTGTGTGCTCTGGGTAAAGCTCCGGCAACACGGCGGCCCTTCTCGCAAGCACACTCGCCTCGACACCAACAGCATGCAGTGGGAAGACACCGACATCCCTGGGGTGAAGGCCAAGGAGCTGTATTCGTGAGTCTGCGGGATCCCCGTTGTGTGCTGCCGTCCTGTAGGGCTCAGTGAACAGTCAGCCCGAAAGTAGTGTTTCGTGCTGCGGATTTGGAGACGGGGGGGTACACGTTGGTGTCTTTGCCTTCGTGCTAAAAGCTCTTGCTCAGGCTGTTTGGGGGCGTCACTATGGTTGTCCCAAGCGTGGTGTCCACGCGCGTTCGGCAAGTTTTGCTGCCAAGGGGTGTGCCGTTGTCTCCGCGCTGCCGGTGCTGAACGAATGTTCGAGTCGCGGCGTAGGGAGCACCATGTGTTTCGGTTGAAGTTACCCACCTATCAAGCAAGCCGTATCATAGAGACCTCGACAAGATATGACATGCCCGCGAACAACAAGAACAAGGCATTTCGGCCAACGTCTTTTTTTTTACTGTTGATTTGTCGTTGCCCAGCTGCTGGAGCGGACGACCACCCCTCTTGCAATTGAAACGACAACAACCTCGTTACCTGTTTGTCGGGGTCCTCGTCTATGCACCATGAAGAACGAAGGTATACATCAATTCACAATCCTGGTCGTGTACCACGTAACGTCGCCCATCCCGTGATGCCCACACGGCCACAGGCACCCCGATCATGTCGAATCCATGCGAATCGAGAAGTGGGATGCTGGCGCAAAGGTCGAGCGCGAGTGCCAGAAGATGACTGAGTTTCTGGTGCTTGAAGGGGAGGCTGAGGCACACGATGGTGAGATGCTGCATCCTCCTCTTCAGCACCGATGTACTCAGTTTGACCGCACGTGATAGTTACTTTGGTGCCACCTCTTTTACTACCAGTGTTTATCCCAGAGCGACCCTTGCCTTGAGAACTTTCGTGGTTCTTATCGAGAGTGTTGTGTTTGACCGACCGATACCGCCGGGTTTGAAACGGAACCTGTCCAACTGCTTTGTTTCATTCGGTATTCATTTTCACTCGATTACGAGACCCTGCTGGCTACAGCCGTTACTTACCTTGAATGCCAAGTTCACTTTTTCCGACCTGCTTGGGAGTCATTGTTAAAATCGAACACCCCTTTCACGGCCAATCACGGGTAAACCCTCTGCAGCTCTACTGTAGTACGTTCCCACCAAACGTGCCTACAGTTAACATTGTAGGAATGGCAATGTTGGAGCCCATGTCCTGGGTGGGCATAAACACCGGAGCTGTTCAAGTTTTTCAGTGGCTGCTGTTTCGTACAGTATGGCCACAACCCGCAACGTTTTGTTTGGTGCTTGTAGTCATATACTTCCCGGTGACGGCGTGCCCTCGTGCTTGCTGTGCTCCGCAGCGAGCGAGACCTTCACAAAGCGGAGCTGGCTGAGGCTTCCCGCGGGAGCCACGCTGTCCATGACATCCGCAGCGGGCTGCCAAGTGTTCGTCAAGGAGGGGGAGTGGCTCCCGCCCAGCAGCAGCAACACCGACGCGCCGTGAGGAAGCCGGTTGGCGCGGTGCTGCACTGCGTCCCACCGTATAAAGAACCAGCAAAGAAGAGACTGGCGCTTTGATCGGTGGTGGTGCCGAACCTCGAGGGTGCATTTCGCAATTTCGGCGGAAGCGTACAATACCGTGTTGCTTGGTGGATCGCGGAAGGTCGCCATGGCGATGACAGTGAATATAATAATATAATAGTCTACAGCAGTAGTCTAGACACCATATGTGTAGTGTCGAACGAAGAGCGGGGATTGGGGGGATACTATCTCCTTCGTAAGTGCTTCGGCTTTGTGTATTTCCATACAACAGCGAGAACGGATTGCGTGTGTGGGGGGGTGACTTCTCGTACTTGTACTTAGGCAGTTGGTAGGCCGGCCCGTTTCTTGTAGTGTGATATAGATAGCATCCGAAGTGAGCTATTAGAAATTGACAAAGTGATTGGCGAATACAGGACAGCACCAGTCTATGTGTGCTGCTATCCTGCACATACATGTAGTTGCAAGATCAAACAAATGACAACGATGATGACGACGACATCAGACGGTATTTTGTAGGTCGAGATGCGGTTGCTGGCAGGAGCAGAGCCGCTTGAAGTTTTAGCGACGGGACGGCCGCATCACGGTGCGACTTTTTGGCGCGCTTGTGACGTCATGCGCATACATGACCAGCAAAGAATATAATGGATGGGGGAGGTGCTCTGTACCTACGTCGGAATCCCGCTCCGTGGGCCCTCTCGGAACGCGTTGAGATCGATTGTGCAAGAGACAGCGACCCGGACCTTAGGAGACCAAGACAGAAACACGAACGCATTCCCACCGTGCCTGTCAAACGACAAACTTACACCAGGTACGTATGTATCCAGCAAGTGGTGTAAGCTCGGCGTGTACTGTCGTGGTACCTGGTAAATAAAGCAGAGAGACCGTTGATGCGGTAAACATCACGAGTATGTATGCGAAACGGACGCACGCCGTTCGGCGCATTGACCGACGGGTGGGCGTGCTTGGCCCATGCGTTTTGCATTACGTAACATACCGTGATCGGGTGTGTGCAGAATCGGATTGGAGGGGTTAGATCGGATGGGGGCCGAATAACTGACGGGGGAGGGGAGAGAGGTGCGGAGAGAGGCAACTCACCGAGACAGACAAAAATTTCTTGTTTCAGCCGTATGCACACGATGAATACAACTGAAGAGACGCTTGTCGTGGGTCATGGGTCTCTCCCGCAACAAGTCTGACGTGGACAACGCACCGGGAAGGCTCCCTGCAAACAAATATTCAAGAGAGGAGAGTTAGGCGCAACCTGGTTCTTCAATATAGGAGTACTACAGCCAACAAGCTCTACGGTGGTGTAACCCTACGCACCCAAGGAAACCAAACAGAAATTTCCTACGGTACTATACGTACTCCGTAGCCCACGCAACTGCTGTGTATCCGACCGCTCTCCGCCGACATCCATCATCCATTGCACTATGAACAAGGGCTACGGTTACAATAGGTCTATGAGATCATCCTAAATATCATGTGCAGACAAGCGTCCCCACACTAGGGATAAAATTTATACTTTCCGAAAATACAAGAGCATCGTTCCTGGGACCAGTCCTGGATCCCAAAGTCTCAGATTTAGCAAATGAAGAAGAAAGCTCCAGTGTATCCAGAGGTTGCCCCCCCATTCTCTGTAGAGAATAAGACTTAACACACGTCCCCTTCGACTATGGTGTTATCTCGAACGGGTAGTCTTTTCTGTATTTGTTTGTATGCTTTCAAAAAAGACTGTCAGTTAAGCAGCGTTCCTGGGACCCGTCCTGGATGCGAACAGCTTCATATTTGCAATAAATGTACGTACTTGAGAGCGATGACTGACTGTAACTGCGCTGTTTTTACGGGATAAACGCTTACTACGTGGCCCCGGTATCTCGACGAAGGCAGATGCCAAGGACCTAAATTTCTATATTGTCTCTGTCACAGGCGGTCCAAAGGCGGCGCTTGGGTCCTATCGTCGAGGGCGCCGACTACATGTATTTGTGTTTGCTATTGATGCTAAACCTTGATCGAGAGCACGATAATATGTTCTTATCCCGGCCTGATGCCTCACACCTCACACCCAAGCAAGGCTTCAGGAAGGTCCTCATGCAACTCTCGGCATGCATAGACAGTAGCCGTGCGGCAAGAGCGTCTATGTGTGGTGTGCGTGTTTAGCCTGATAATCCATCTATCTATAGGGTGGACCGCGATTCCTTTGATACCCTCTCTCGTTTGTTGTTGCTCTGTTGTGGTGCTCAATTTGCTTGCAGCTCGAAAGTTCCTACTAAAGACGAAGATATTGCCGACATCGTTGCAGTAGTCGTCGTTGCTGTTGATCTTGGTTTTCGTATGGGTACTAGACTATCGATTTTTACACAATGATTTTGCTGGTAGACAACGAAGGCAGGTAGTGTGGAGCGCATGCAGGTCGTCGCCAAAAAAATTAAGTTTGTTAATTGCGATTAGGGTTGATTGCAGGAGGATGAGACGTGCGACCTGTCAGCGAATGAAAGATGCAGATGGCGGAACCATTTCTGCATCTGCCATATAGACTCTGTTGGCAAGGCACATGAGACAGCGCACCTTCGCTTCGGGGCGGTGTGGTGTGTAGTCTACCATACGAAGAAATAAGGAGACGCATCCGGATTCTTACAAAGGACAAAATGTCTTTGACTGACCAAGCGCGCAAGGCTCGGATTAGAACACGCTATGACGGAGCAAGGAGTGCGATCTCCCGCTGATTCATGCAAATCCGAAACGCGTTGCCCCCACTGGAGCTCAGACCGCCTCGTCGCCCCTAAGAAACTTAATGATAACAACACGTGAAAAAAGAACACACACGAAAAAATCACTACGGTACTTTTTCCTACGTCAAACGTGCCACTATCGCAGCACAGGAGACTCGCTTGGCATGGGTGACGGCAGACGTTCTGGAGCACCGGCTCCGCTCACTTTAGCTTGTCCCAAAGTACAAATTCATACGGTGCTACCGCCTCATGTTCGATGCGACAACAGGGTGGGGTTGGACACTGTGGTCTGTGGTAAGGGGTAGCTCTACAGTACACACGAAAAACACGTTGCCATGGCGTGTAAGCCATTAACAGTACGATGTGTGTGATGGAGCAATTTCAGACCACGGACAAGTTTCAAATGCACCCTTTTTTGTACCGTAGAAAATTGTTCCTTTGATTCCGGAGAGTGTGAAACAGCGGTAGCGGAGACAGAAATTATATCGTCACCCCAAGGGCAAGGTCAGTGAGCAGATACGGTGGTCGGTGTTTTACCCACATGTGAAGAGCGTACGCAACGGCCGTGGTGCTTGACGACAACACGTACCTTGTTTCGTGTTTCGATGTCTTGGCAGCAGCACATGTCGAGCAGTGTGATGAGTCTCGTGGTAGCAGGGAAAGACAGTAGCAACGATGGACGGTCATCCTGTTGACTGCCACGTCGATATTTATGGTATATTTATTCTATGCCCAACAACTTCCTTGCCTCGTTGTGCGCTCTTTTACAGCTGCCCTCGGCGATGGCCCATTTCGGACCGTGACGCCCTGGTTTCCCTATACAACGCGACTGGCGGGGCTAACTGGAAGCAAAAGGAAAACTGGGACACTGGGGCCGACCTCTCGCAATGGTGTGGTATCAAAGTCGACGACCAGGGCCGCGTCGTGGAGCTAAACCTTTTCTGGAACAATCTACAAGGTATCACCCGCACGCGTTGCTCCGACGTGTTGCAAGTTTTCCAAGTATTCGTCGACAGAAAGAGATCATTTCATGAGCTCTTTTCAGTAAGCCACAACGCTGTCTTTTTGTACGTTCCCGTGTTCTGCGTGAGATCGAGGCCTGAATACCCTGCGCGTCGAGTCGTCCTCGTGCCGGCACGAAAAACCAACCGATACCTTCATGTTCTCCTTCGAGCCTGCTTCTTGGCTCACATAAATTTAGCTATTGTTTACTGATTAGGCTACATGTTGAGCAAGGCTCTGATGACTCGCTTGTCGAGGCTCGGATGACTCACTAGTCGTACTCTTGAGCGTTCTCAACAATTAATGATTTCTCAAGCGGGTGTTTTCGCCGCTGACATTTTTGCGCTATCGTTTTCGCAGCAATACCTGCGGCAACTTCGCGAACTCTCTACGGTGAATTCAATGGTGCATTTTCTTGCGGAAGAAGATCTACGCAGACGCCGGCAGTTTCCGACGCTGAAAGACGTTCTGCCTGTGTTTCTAGAAGACGTGTCCACTCACGATTCCTGTGTATGACGCCCTCACCTTTGAAAGAGTTGTTTCGTAGCAGTATGTTTTCGCCATGCAAATACTCAAGCCCTTGAGAAATACTGTACTCGGCCCTGCTTGTGCAGGAATCATCCCGAAGGAGATGGGTGCTCTGGACAAGCTGGAGAAACTCTCGCTCTACGGCAACAAGCTAACTGGTATACGAACGAGCCTGGGTTTCTTTCGTATCTACCGTGTGTCCTGCGCACGCGTGGGCCGAGTAGGCCATCGCATGTATGGTATTCATTCGTTGGCGGCTAGTAGAAACCCATCGCTCAGCTGGTTTGGGCGGTAGTAGCGTCGTTGATTAGCCCCCAGGCCCCAACCTTCGGCCCCGTTTAGACTAGTAAACCGGCAGTTTGGATTTGTAGTGTGTAAGGTTGACGTGTCGCCATGCCTGCGAGGGTTCGACTTGGAGAGCGCGTGTCAGCCTATTCGCCGAAGCTTTGGGGGGACACGTCTGACAGTACGTCTCTCTCTCTGCCGGCAGGATTAATTCCAGGGACGCTGGGAGCTCTCAGCAAGCTGGAAGCGCTGTTCCTGTTCAATAATCAGCTTACCGGTGAGCGGCGGCGAGCGGATTCTTTCTGCCTTAACTCATTTGTTGAAGCCTACTCGTCGACGCGTCGGTGTGACACAGAACACAGATGTTCGACATGGGGAACAATAGTTACATGCCTTTACGAATTGTTTTCAGGTCCCATCCCGCCGGAGTTGGGAAACCTCGGGGAACTTCAAGCACTCGATCTCCAGAGGAATCATCTCACAGGTGAGATGAACGGGTCTCAGGTTTCCCGCCCGGCGTCCAGTGCATGTGTCTTGCCAACGCGTGGATGGGTAGGTCACCATATCCCCTAGAAATAAGGACAGTTGAAGGCGAGAGAACGAGTCTCGGAAGCCGTTGGATATTTGTTTATTTGTTTTGTGAACTATGAAGGCTATCCTGTTTGATCAATCCTTGCTGAGACAGATTCAGGACGTGAATTTGCTCTGATCCACGATCGTGTACTGCAGGGGCGGGCCGTTATAAATGGTGGGGAGATAAAGGTCTGAGCCGTGGGGGCTTGAACCCTTGACCCTCGCTGGTTGTACAGGGGCTATTCCTACCTCGTGACCGTTCCACATCCTACAGGACTCCAGTCCACCTTGATTTTGGCTGATTTCGGAAACAGCCTAGGGAACACCCAGAAATCACACGTGAGAACGCAGAAGACAACGTGGAAAGTGTTGCGCGTGTCGCTGCTTCACATTGTCCTCGAATACTGGTATAGATGTTCTTAATGGGACTCTTCAAACAGGAAGGCCATTGTCATTTCTTTGTCGCGTCCAACTATCTTGGATTTAGACTCCACTGATAGCTGCCTTTGGGCAGGACCCCGCGTAAATCACACCGTTGCGCTCCAAGCGCTTCACACAACTGCCCCCTGCTCTTTCCGGTGTAGGTCCCATCCCGCCGGAGCTGGGGAGCCTCACAGCGCTGAAAGACCTCGGTCTCGACACTAATCAGCTAGGCGGTGAGTCGCCACGTACACGTATGGAATCCCAACCGATGCGTAGGCAAATACTCTGGATTCTCCCAACCTTGTATTGGACGCGTGCCGCATCTTGGACTGACGTCGTCGCCTGCCTGAACAGGATCCATCCCTGAGGCGCTGGGAGCTCTCAGTGAGCTGAAGGGGCTTTGGCTATCCAGCAACAAGCTCACTGGTGAGAGGATAAAAAATAACACCATTCAACGTGCAGGACATGTAACAATAGCCTACACGTGGATGAGTAGGCCGACATAGTTCGAAGCGTGGTTGGAACTCAGATAGGCCACTTGAGTCTGAAAAATATCAAAACCTTTTGGGTCTGGCCGTTTGTACAGGGTCCATCCCTCCGGAGCTAGGGAAGCTTGGAGCTCTCAAGACGCTGGAGCTTTGGAACAACAAGTTGAGCGGTGAGTCGTTTTGGCTTCCAAGGACATCGGTGGGATTCATGCATGCATAAGAAACTCCTTCCGCCCCTTGGATTCACCACGTAGGTGGTTTAGGTTGAGGTTGACGTGCTCCAGTACAAACAAGGCTCTGGCGAAAGGGGAGATGAAGCGCAATAACAATTATTTGCCCATCTTCGAACCCGTTGGCGGGCCACATGCTTGACGAGTCGGTTTTTCCTTGTTATCGCAACTCCCATCGACAAGCTATTTGTGAAAGAGCCGCAGCTTTTCCAGCTTGCTGAGAGCTCCCGGGGCCTTGGGGATAGGCCCTGCAGCAGGGAGGGATCTTGTAGAACATTATCTCATCAACACTCTTACAACGTGTGATGGCCTACTCACGTATGCAGCACGGCACTATTGTACAAAGCGGGGAAGCGCGGTGAAGGCCACAAGATCATCGGTCCCGCCTAGGTGTTGGCAGGACAAAGTCTAGGAGGGGAAAGACGCTCTAGAGCAACGAAGACCCCCTTCTTTGGCACATTTCTAATCACATGTCTGGTTGCAGCGGAAAGAATGACGCACGCAGCTTGCCAAGAGCTCCTACGCCCTTAGGGATGTGTCCCACAACGGTAGCATGAGACATGGTAATTCGTGTCCCTGAAGGCAGGTTTCTCAAACAATAAAAGACGGTTCATATTGCACGTGCGCTAGAAGCCACCTGACCCACTTCTCGAAACCCGACAGGACGATACGCTAGCTGGTTGTTCCACACGCCAATCACCTAGAGCTTGGTGAGGGGTCTCATTTGTTTGCGATACTGCCTATACAGGCAGCAGAGGCGCCCGTCCTATCTATTTGAGCAGCGCGGGATCAAAGCAACGGGCAGCATCTGGTACGACGACTTCGCTTGCGCCGCATGCGTCTAGCTAGTGTCGCGCCCACGCGTGGGCGAATCTCATCGTTGAAATCGGTGTCTTTGTTGATTGGTTGGCCGCTGCAGGTGCTATCCCCGCCAACTTGGGGGACCTTGTGGCCCTTCAGACACTATCGCTTGGAGGGAATCAGCTGAGTGGTAAGTGGGTAGCCGAACATTCGACTCAATCGAACCACCGTGTCCCGCCCAAGTTGATGACTATTCCACTATTGTGTTTTATGGAGCGCTTGAGACAGCGAAAACGTGAGCCCGAGCCTGGTAGTGAGGAAGACTAGTGGTTCTAGTGGTCATCGTGCTTCCCAACAAAAGCTAATGTCCGGGGTTCGAATCTCCCCTTGAGCGTAAATTTATTTGCGCCCGATCTATGGGAAGAAAAAGTATGAGGAAATAGGCTTATAATAGCAAAACATGCCGGTGAACCTCTTGTACCGATAGTGATTTCCGGGCAAGACAGCGCTGATCACAGGGATGGCAGCCCTGGGGGGACGTGTTCGTGGCTGCAAAGCCAGACCGGACACAGGCATTTACTTTTGTTGAGAAGCATGATGACCACTAGACCACTAGTCAACGCTGACTAGTGGTCTAGTGGTCATCATGCTTCTCAACAGGTATCCTGAGGTTGGTAGATGAATGCAAGGTCGGGGATCGAGGGCCACTTTGGCAACAGCGTGGGGTTGAGTTGAACCCTATTTTTCGTTGGCATAGGCACTAGGGTTTCGCAGCAGCCGAGACCGGAGTGAAGAAAGACCGCACCGTCTGGGCATGGGCACAAGCGAGGAGGGAGTATGTTTCACCAAGTATGTGTGTGAAAACATGGGACCATCCTCGGCAGACGTTGAGAGATTGTACCCTTTATTTATGAAGTTATCTCCACATGTGGACATATTTCGTTTTGTTTTGCACAGGTTCCATCCCCCAGAAGTTGGGAGGCCTCACCAGGCTGTCGACGCTTGTCCTTTCCAACAACCAGCTTACTGGTAAGTGGGGTGTCATGACAATATGTTCTTCTAGAATACCAGTGCGAGCCTTGCCCTAGACCGCGCAGGGCATGTAGTTGATAGCGTCAAAATTTCTCTCGTTTTTTGCCCTTTTCTCTTTGGTGTGTTGGTTGAGAGCACCCCAGCATCTCCAGCTTGCCGAGAGCTTCCAGTGCTACGAGAAAGGGCTTGGAGCAAAAACTGCCCGTGAAATTGGGTGGCAAATAGAATATCGGGTCGTACCGTTCTAAGAGTATTCACTGACACGTAGGCACAGTAGGTCCATCACGTTCGTACATGTTCTAGAAGCGTGGGTGGGGCACACGCTATCTGTAAAATATTGAATGTGGGAAGATACAGACTTTGGGTTCCCAGCGTGTGGTCCGCCTTCACGTTGGAGGAGCACGTGTTCTAGAAGCCGGCGCGATGAGCTGTTTATTTGCGAGGCGAAAACGAATCGCACTACAGTAGTTCGCACAAACCACGAAGCTTTGAAAATCTTGGAATCACTTGAAATCTCTTCCGCCGAGTTATACACAATCGTGAAACCTCCTCTCACGGTTTTGTCAGGACTTTGGGAGGTCGAACGCAAATCACGACAGGGACGCACCACGCCGCTTTCCGCAAAAGGTTGGTGTGAGAGTGGCAGATGTGAAAGTTTGGAGGTTTCTGTGGTGTGGGCAAGGCTCTACTAGTGCAGCTTTACCCTTGGAGCCTGGGTGATGCAGAGTGGTTCGTGCAAAGTTGTTTTGCTGTTCATATTTCTTCACTCGAGAAGCGTTTCCGCCCAGAACACAAGCGGGAAATGTTCAGAAATCATTTTGACCCCAAAAGTAGGCGCAGCAAACAAGATATCAAGCGACCGAAGGGCCTATCACTCCGGCTCGAGAAAGTACGAATTGATGAGCCCAAGATTTCCAACCACGAAAATATAGCGAGTCCCCCATGGCTCTACCGAATGTACTCTTGCTAGGTTGGAGTTCTTGCTAGCCAGGTCTGTATTTGGATTGTCTTCAAAACATATAGCTGTGTACATGTTGGATTGCCGTGGCAACACACTTTGAGATTGCGTAAACACACGGTACGTTTCTCCGAGCACCGCACGTTTGTTTTGTTCCCCTACCGTACCTCAGAACCTGTTCCATCTGCGTTGGACTCGCTCCTTCGGGTTGTCGAGGGATGCTCCCAAGTACGATGGGGCAATAACCCGTGGCGGTACCCGCCCGCCGAAGTGATGGGCCAAAGCATATCTGTGCATGTACGGCAGTATTTCAACGCGGTCCTCGCTGGATCCGTGAGTACCGTGCGGCGGCCGCTAAAGGTTGTGGTGGTCGGCAAGGAGTCGGTTGGCAAAACGAGGTATGTGCACCTGAACATCCGTGTACTACACCCCACCATCCGTCATCTGCAGATTTAGGGCGCAAGTCAGGACGTATGAGACGAATCTTCGCACGCTCTCTCCGTTGTGAGGAGGGAAAGGGATTTGCCGCGGAAGATGTCGGCCTCGAGTCGTTAGTGTTCGACATGAGGCGCTTGATCATCGGTGACGGCGGCCAACTCAAACCCGCTTCGTTGCTGGTGTCAGTGGGAAGTGGTGTTGTCGTCTTGCGGATTGTCTTTGTCGTGATGAAACAATGTTTTGTGGTCTCACGTCGTTTTGATGGCCAGCTATAGACGTTGTGTTCTGCCTAACGTCTTCGTGTTTTATTGCCTTTTGCCTTTTTTTCAGTTTGCGGCAGAGCATTGTGGCAGGCAAGGCCAGGCCAACACGTAATCACGGGGGGGAGAGCACCGTGCACATCGATGTCGAGGACCATGAGCTTGACGGTAGGCCAATTCGGATCTTCGACTGCGCTGGGCAGGTAACACGCTCGCCATTGCTGCAGTAGTAGCGCAATTCGTGGCTGGTGAAACCCGAAATCCGCTTGCTATGACGCAGAAGTTGAACTATTTAATTATTTCAGGCGCTTATCCTGCTCTTACTGAGGGAGCCGGATTATCCCGAGACCCTCCGCTTTCGTGCAGTAGCCTCGCAGACCGCGTGATCCACACAACGTACCCCAGGAACGCCCAGAATTGCGGTTTGCACTCAGTTGCGGCTTCTTGTCGAAACCATCTCTATCGCCCCTCCGTACAGGTGGCGTACACAGGCCTGCTTCAACTCTTCCTCACCCCGCAGGTCATCCATCTGTTGGTGGTGGACATGCCGAGTGTCGTCGGCAACATCGAAAACGGCACCTCAAACCCCTTAGAAGATCTCGGAGCACTCAGATGGGTTCGTTCTCTCAGTTTCCGTGTACCCGGGGCAGCTGTCATTCTGGTGGGTACAAAGTGCGACCGCGTGAAGGACACGGACGGAGAAACCACGGAAGCGAGACTTTCGAGGGCAGCAGGAATGGTGGAGGACAATATTCGCAGCTGGATACACAAGTGGACTACGCAACGGTTGCATAACCACCACGCCCAAAGTATCGCCTTCGAGAACGGCGTTAGCCTCGTGAACTGCGGGTTACCGTGCGACGAGTTGGACGGAGGTTGGCCGTGTGACGTCAGCCAGCCGAGCCTTCTGCATCGTATCACTTTCAAAGACGGCAAGGCGCGAGGAGTCGACGCAGACCTTCCTCTGAGCTGGGGGTGTGCTCTCAGCCTTCTGGACGAGACAGCCCGCCGTGTCCGGTACGTGTTCCTGAGCGGCCCCTGCTTTGAGTGTTGACGCAGCCCATGATTGAGATGCTTCGGTATGGGTGAACGCCTGGCTTGTACCTCTGCACGTACCTGTGTACAGCAGTAGAGGTCCCTGTTTAGTGCCGGTATGTGCCCAGAAAATTCCCCGCACTATACCGGACCGGACATGGAGTTCCCTGTGTGCCCGCCGAAAAACACCGGCACTACGCCGGACAGGCACTGTTGAAAGTATAGAACAACTTGGTATTTCAGTGTGTGCGAGCCGAAAAACACCGGCGCTATACCGGGCACCGGCGCTATCCAACTGCACTTGCTTTCTGAGCACACCGCATCCCCTTTCACCCGTCGCCGTCTCTTCGCGATCGATGGCTTTCAACAGAGGGCAACCGGGATTCCGAGGTGTCGAGAGGACTGAGCTTGACGGGCTATGGCACGACAAGGTTGACGAGCTGAAGCGGGGTGGGCATGAGATGGAGGCTACCGAGCACGCTCTCGACGGGGCAATATCAATTATGTAAGCGGAGTTGTGCCCAGGTTCTACTACTGCGCTTGGCTAGCCCATAGAATAGTGCTGACTGCCTCCCGTCACTTCGGGCTTTAGGGCGAAGCCCGCTATGCTTCGCCGTAGAACTTCCACGAATTTCACCTTCATCACGTCCTCTTGGTCAGCTCCTCACAACGTTTTCACTTCTGTGAGGAGAACACGTCTTGGTTAAAGAATAATCTCGTTCTCCTTGTGTAGATAGACTAGCTCACGTCGTCCGTGCGCCGCTGTTGTTTCTCTTTGTCGCAACCGCCCACCTTGTCAGGGCGTACGAAGGGAGCCTTGTAGTGTACGGTTCGTTTGTGATCGTCGATGTGCAGTGGCTCGCCACCGTCTTGAAACCACTATGCAGCCATAAGGACATGTCAATGGGCGAGGTAAACCTCGGTGGTATCACGGTGAGGCCAGGTCCAAGAGTGGAACGGTTGGTGAAAGACGGTATTCTGGAGCCCAAGCTCGCCGAAGAACTGTGGCCGGACACGTGGGAACATCTCCTCAGGGCGCTAAGCAGTGCGGGGCTGACGTTCCCGCGCCCGAACGATAAGGAGGGCGGGTTGGTAGTGCTCCTGCGATTGGACAAGGATCGGCCGGATGATGTGGGCGACATTCTGGACGACTTCCGCGCATCGCACGATGGCCAAATTGTGGCATCGTGCACGTTGTTGCAGGGCGCGCCGCCCGGGTTCATCGAACGGCTGCTTTCGACGTGCTGCCGTCTCGGCTCGTGCAACCACTTTTGGCGGTACGGCGTACTCATCCAATCTCGATCCTTTTCAGTGATACTTGAGTATGCCGAGGACGACGATACCTTGGTTGGAAAATTCTCGGTGGACGCGTTTGGTGACTCCCGCACCGCCGGACCTTGGCTCGCCCTGTCGGGGTGCCTGTCCGTGTTGTCGAAGATGCTCTCCGAGTTCCCGGGGATGGACGTTGAGGCGACGCTGGAGTGTCCGTATCACAGCGGGGGTTCCAGGCTGATTCCAATCGACCTCTACCAGGTATAAACGCATGACGATCCTACACAGTAGATCTTTGCCCTTGCTTCGCCACTCCCCGCTGGCCGTGGCGCATATACCGTTGATCTCACCCCATTGCCCGTCCACCTTCCCATATACACCGCCCGTGACAGCGACGGCCGTGGCAATGCTTCATCAGGGAGGTAGATGGGTGCCGCCGGTGTATACACGAAGGAGAGCAAAACGCTAGGCATCTTTTTTCTAGAGGCCTGGTGGTTGTCCCAGTGACCGATTCAGGCTTCGACACCGCGGGATTCACTCGGAAATTTGACGATGCGACGACGGAGTACAATGTGAGGGGGGCATGCATGGTTGCGGCGTGCTTGACCGATATCTTGATCTGGATTAGTTTTTCCTTTGGATTTCCAGTCGAGACCGCGCGGTGCGGAAGTATACCTGAAGCTTCTTGGTTTTGGCACAAAGCACATGATAAACCATCGCGTCTACCTATGTAACTTGTTCCTCCGACCTCCTTATACCTTGTTCGTGGCGGAAAGGGTTCTGTCTGCGGAAATCCTGCCACGTGGACATATTGAAACCACTCTTGCTCTGGAACCCAGATGTCGTCGATTTTGCCGTAACTGTCTTGTCTGATCTATGTACAGGAGGGAGCATCGGCACCGAGGGTCACGGTTTCAACACCGCCTCGACCACAGGAATCTCAGGTGGTGCACTTAAGGGTCCGTTGTACGTTACGTTTGTTGCGAGAATCGTTAAACGGCACGTGATAATATAGTCCGATTTACTCAGGGTAACATACAAGTCTAGCAACCATCCTACAAGAGCCAGCGGTGCGTTGCTTGAGTCACTATTAGTTGCTACCTGCCACAGAGCGAACGGGTTCAGCACCGTTTGATGTCGCGGGTGACCTGCAGCCCAGTTCCACTACCTTGTTGATGTTTCCTCACTTTGGACGGATGCAGCAGGGACTCCCAGCATCGCGTACTACGGTGAGCATCCCCGTCGGCCCTTCTGCAGCCCCTCGTCGAATGGAACCGCAAGATCGTGTTCCTGCCCAGGTGAGTCGCCCCTTCGATCTCGACGGAGATCGTTCCTAAAGAGCTATGATACTGCGGTCTTCGTATTGGTCGCTGGGGGACGTTCAGCCGTTCTACCCCGTCTTCGATTTGATTCCCCAGCGAAAAGCATACTTGGGGCATCCATTCACGCTTCCAGCGCGCGGCCGTCCGCGCTGCTCGATTCTGCACCATGTATTTCATTCCAAAGGAAATCAGGCATGGTGCTACCACAGCCAAAACGCAATACACGTGCCTATTTGTAGTGTGGAGTCGTTGTCCTCGTGTTTGAGAGCTGACGAGGTGCAGAAGAGGAGGAGACGCCGAAGCATTGGTGCCTTTTCAAACACATTGTACAGCACTCAGTGTGCTTAGTTTATCCGTTTCCGGCGTGCTTTGGTGACAGATCGAAGCCCTGTTCGGAGATCTGGAGAAATCATTCACCATCATAGCCGGGGGGTGCTTGGCTGCCTTTGCTGGCTTAGCCTCCGTGTACGCACCCGAGGTTTGGGCACCATTTCTCGTGTTGGGGATGTGTTTTTCCCTGGCTGCGGCGGCATCCGTCCTGCGCAAGTGGTGCTGGAGAGGAGGTCGGCTCGATCCAAGGAGTGCAACGGGATTTTCAGATCATGTTCACCAAAATCCGAGGAACGGCTTCGAAAACGTTTGAGGAGAGGTGTCCAGCAAGCTACTGTAGGTAGATCCGTCATTGTTTTGAACTCTTCACAGTTGGGAATGTTCCCGTCGCTGATGGCGCAGTTGTTTTTTTCCAGGAAGTGACTCATTGTCAATAGTGTGCTTCGGTAGCTGGCGACATCCCGCATTCGGCTGCTTCAGCTATCTAACCCACACGTTGTTGCGACAGTATCGACTTGAAGTTGAGTACTGTATCGTGCTGTCTACGTTCAGGTGTTTCCCTTGCTCATGGGAATGACGTTTCAGGGTTTGGTGGGGGAGGGAACGTCGTCTTCAACAAAGACTACGGGCCGCCCATTGCTGTGGTCTTGTGGACTGTCAGTGATGGAAACCTACACTGACAACGTGGATATGGCAAACAGCTTGCCGTAAGCCATCGATTTCACTTTTTTGGAAGCTATGGAAGCTCTCCGTGGAAGTTGTGGAAGATTCCACTTACGTGGCGAACGCTTCCATTTTGCAAATTGTTTCATCATATCCCAGGATCTCTTGCATGAGCTTCCTGTGGTAAGTCGATCGTGGGATAGGACGCTGCGAACGATGGTGCTGTGGATGTTTTTAAATACGAGTGAACATCATCATGGTGCCTTTAGTAACAAGAGCGATTGAGAAAACCAACGTGGATGCGGAAAACATAAACATGTCCATCTGTAAGGCGTAGAAACAAGAACTCGACCTCATGCTGGAGTGGAAACGTCACGACGTGTGCTCGCTGTAAGTGCGCGGGCCTTTGTGTGTGTGTGTGTTTTTTTATTATTAGCATCGACCGCGCTAACCGTCTGACCAATGAAAATACGTCAGTCTCAGTGCGGTTGAAAACACAAAACATGTCTAAATGCCATTAACTGGGAACCCGTGAGGGGGCGGCATGGGGGAGACTAATCTATTCTCCGGATCAAAGACAGAAACGGTAGGAACAGAAGAAAACTGCACACGTCTACGAAGGCTGCTACCTTGCACTCGAGTTCGTTTTTGAGTGCTTTCACCGTTATCCTCCGTGCTTTCAACTTCATCGTTCCCGTTATCGTTTTCACAGCAACTCTTCGACATTTCTTCTCTGGCCCTGCGTCGTTTGTTGTGGGGGGGTGTACTCATGTACTCATAGTCGTGTATGCCGTAGTCGTCAGACCATTGACCTCGCATCCCTACAAAGCCGGGACGGAGCACGCCGGTTTCTCACCGGACCAGGCTCTCACATCACCAAGCGCGAAGCGCCGTGGGGTATTCGGCGTTTCGCATGAAGGGTGCACTGCATCCTGCTAAGGGTGTTCGGCATCTTGGCTTACTTCCTTGCGTACGGATGGCAGCTGCGTATGACTTCATCTATTTTCTGGTGCTTTCACTTCCGGAGACAGTTATAAGCGCTGTGTAACTGCCTCGAGGGTGCTTGACCAATTTAACACAACGTGCGATTGTCCCCTTTGCGCGGAGTGAGGGTTCTCGACCCCGAACAACATAATCTACTCGACCACCATTCATGGTTCCCGCAAAAAAAAAAAAGGTAAAAGAAGTGGTAACCTGGTTGCCGAGCTCACGAAGTGATCGGCTTGTTTTACAACATCGCTGCCAAGCGACAAAAACCCAACTCCGATGGCAAATCCCCCCGGGGGGGGGGGGCGTCGTTTGTGGTGGGGAAGGTCATCTGGCTCGAAACTGTTGCTCTCTTCCACGCCATGATTCACTCCTCGACTGCTGTTTTTGTCTATGTCTTTGTCCTCCTCCCGTTCCCTCTTCTACTCCTACTGCTTCATCATGGCTGCCAAACGAATTCCCCTCATTGCCATCCTGGTTGTTTCTATCTGCACTACTACCAAGATCCCAACCTAGCTATTGGTCGTGGTGGAAACTGATCGAGACGTAGACTAGTCCCATGACGTTTGAAAACATCACGAGTTCGTACCCCATTTTTCGTGGTAAGACGTGTAGTCTGTACTGCTGTACACGTCAGGGTGTGTAGATCTAGAGCTGTTGTATACTCTTCAGAGTGTATTTGATTCGTACAACTACAACCATCCAGGGCTTTTTTGCGTTCCCTCATCAGCAAAGGGATTCCCCGTGGTTTGTCGACACACAGGTTACGTTGTTATTGGTCCAACTTCAACGGCCCGTCTGTCGTTTGCGACACCCTAAATACGGTTCGCATTGGTTCCAACGTATAGTCCGCGAGTCTGGCTGTCTGTACAGAAAGACTGACTGTTGAGAACATGCAAGGGCTGGTCAGGTGACATGCAGGATGGCCTTGCGTGTACCAGAAAATTCCAACATAGACTAGACAAACAAACTCGTTTCGTTGGTTTACGTTATGGACAATTTATTTATCTGTGTCGCGGGGTGGTTGGGACGCGTCGTACTATAGTCTACTACTGTGTACCGTCATCCTCGAGATCTGCTTTGTGTACCGCGTGCACTACTTTGTATTGTGCGATGCGCCCATGCTTTGTGCTTTTCATACAATTCCGCGAGCTAGAGTATTTCACGCAACTAATCTGTCGGAGGCGGATATACCACCTGTTCTTGATTCTCTGTCGCACTCGTCCCATTTATGCATAGAGACACTACTGGTTCTCTTCGCGAGTCGCGACATCTCTTTCAGTGCGCGTGCGTGCATGATGAACGACAAAACCCCAATCAATGAATGAGAGAGCCATCATCAGCGAGTACGCGGTACATCGTCGGAAGCCTGATGAACCTGCGCCGCCTTCCCACAAGCCATTTCAGGATTCTGTGCAATAGAGCTGCTGTGTATGATGTGCAGCTTTGCCGCACACTACACACCAGCTGTCTCGCAGTAGTGCCTGCTGTATCGCAGGATCGCACGCGGTTGGTGTCCTCACAGTCCCGCGGGGGACCCGCGGGGTGGGAGCAGAGAACCATGGGTTCCCGCAGGGAAATACGACCTGCGTGTCCGTAGATCCGAGTCGTCGGACCGTCGGACCAGACCCGAGCCGGAGCAGAGCATCAGCAGACCGACAGAACAGACGAGCGTTAAGGATGGCTGCCTATACCCACCCATCGACATGGCCACACGTGATATTGACCTTGGGCGGCTTTCCGTTCCCCCACCTTGAAGACTGCAGGTGATCTGGTTCGCGCCCCACGTTGCTTCGATGATCGGTATGCAGACAGAATTGGGTCTCCGTGTACTTGCTTGTGTTCAACCCAACACCGCTTGCACAAGCAAGAGATGCCTTGCTTAAACAGCACGCCTGCCGACCTTCCCGGCACCGCCGACATGAAACGCACCCGGATAAACCCACCCCGCAGCAATCAAGCACAGTGGTGATGCCGTAAGTCCTCGTACGTACGAGTTGTCGTCATGCTTTTCACCGACATATGCATAGTTGACTTTGGCGCAACGGCGGCTCTTCCGCTGCTGTTGCGTACTACAGCAGTATGTATGAGTACGGCACAGTATTGCAAACACGTGTGTTGTTCGTACGCTGCTGTGGCTGGTGGGTGCGCAATCGAGGCGGCTGTAGAGGAGCGCTCGATGCCTGTTGGTGGCAAGCACCCTGGTGATTGCCGGAGTGCACCAAGACTCATCGAACTCTCTTTCAAACTTGTTGTTCGTTGCTGCCGTTGCCGTCATACGTACAGCCATGTTCGTTCCCGCCGGTTGGCGGTGTACCCGATGCACGCTGTTTCCAACCCTTCCCTCGCTCGGCTTAGAAAAACCACTCTCGCGACAAAGCCTCCTCGTGCACCCCGATGTCAACTGCTTCGCGCTCCGCCTCACCAAACACCTTTTGCGGTGGCTGACCGACCCAAACCAGGCAAGAGATCGTGCCGGGGCCTGCAGCGACGGAAGACCCCACCTTGGTTAGGTTGCGGGGCGGCAGGACTTTCTGGCTCCAGAGGCGATTGGTCAATTCGATTTTCGGCGCAGTCTTCCACGGTATCGAGGGGATGTGGCCCAACCCTGACGAGTGAGAAACTACAGCAGTACCTGTGTCCTGGTGTCCAAGATTTTTAGACCGACTCTACTTGCTGTACGAACAACCCACATTGTGTAGTGCGTGTGTTCATGGATGTTTATTCGCGGGTAGATTTTTCGGCCGACTCTACTGGAACTACGGTAAGAACCCACATTGTGGAGCGTGGTGTTCAGGGTTGCTTATTCGCGGGTAGAGTTTTTCAGCCCACTCTTAATACTTGGTGATAGACTTTGCTTAGTGTCGAATTGCCTCTCGGCTCATGTGCTGTGCACTATCATGCTCCAGGGTGTGTGTAGTATTTTTGTAATAGAATTTGCCGACGCTTACATATGTAGCTGAACAATCAACGAAGGCGGTGCTTGTTACTGTGTGCGAGGTATCTTAGAGTATCGAATTTCCGCGGCCCAACTACAGTACTGTAAGGTAGATGCTCGTCGAGGCATCACACGAGTCGGGGACAAGCAGTCTCCTATGGCTATTTTAAGACGACTGTCTCATTCCGAGCACATGAGCTACCCCGCTCCAAGTCACGGCCAATTGGGAATTTCGGCAGCAACTGGCGGCGTTGCAGTATAGCACCTGCAATGCACAAGGAGAAGAATGACGGGTGTCATTCTTCCGATAGATAGTTCAAGCGCAGACAATGCATGTTGGCGCTGGTGTGACCGTACTGATGGTCCTAGAACTATTGAGCCGTTTTGTCCAAATAGCGTTGTCATGGTGCATGCACAGTACTCCAGAGGAGTGGGCCGAGCACCTGACCCTGGGGATATCGGCTTCGCACTGCTCCATTGGGACTGCGTTCACCCGGAGTTGCGTTTTGCCGGGTTACACGTACTGGTCGCGCATCGATTCCGCCGTTTAGAGCAGTACGTGTGTAGTAAGACGGGGAGGGTAAGCACGTGCAGCGCACGTTCCGTTTTTGCGGTGTTTGTGCTGCTGTTGACCGTGCTGCCTGCCGCCCCGCGTTTTTTTTCTTTTGCGCGCGTCAGTTCGGCGACGTTTGTTACACCCTTCAGAGAAGAGGATCGGACCCACGTGGCGGTAAAGATGTCAAGCCTGGAGAAAATGGCAACAGTTTCGCAAGAGAACGCCTTCAAAGAAATCTCCGTCATGGTCAGTGGGATTTCGCTTCGGCAGTGCAATTTTCTCATGCTGGCCGGTGTGCATGGGGCTATCGACGACGAGGCACGACTGACTGCTGTTTGTGCCGCCCATTCCGCTGGCGACTTTGGCGTCGGGGGGTTGGCCAAGTTGCACAAGTAGAGCAGAAGCAACCCGACTGTTGCCTTTGTCGTAAAGCTGACGGGGATATGTACATGGCGTCCGCGTTCCGAGCCAGCTCATTCAGCCACGGAGCTGCATGGTCAGCGTCGGGTCCCACGGCTATTGTAGGAATCGCCGCGGACCTTGCTTGTTATTGACTGTATTCTTAATTTTGTCCTTGCTCCTCATCTCAATCCAACCGTTTCACCCTTCCCTTGCTGCGTCTATCTGTCTTCCGCCCGTGCGTTGTACCAACCACATTTCTTTTTTGCCGTCTGGCTGACGTTGCAGAGGCACTTGATGCAAGCGGGTGAGCACCCGCACGTAATGCCGGTGATATCGGCGTGCATGTCAACGTGAGTCTCCCGCTGCCACTGGGCAAGCAGCAGCCCGCCTGGGTTGGGTGTGCCCCTCAATCCGATGCGATTGTTGTACCTAAGGGCCGGTTGACTTCTGTGTGGTGGCTTGGGGTCACCGGTAAGGCGCTTGTAGATGTGTTTGGAAAAAGTCGTCGCGCGATCTAGGCGTCTCCGGCTTTGATGCAATTCTTTGTTTTTCTATTTAGTTTCTTGGCCAACGTTAGACAGTATCTGGGACTCTGACGGAGTCGATTAGTCGGCCTCCTCCTGTACACACGCAAGCACAAGCACCACGATACGGCTCAACAGACGGTGGAAAATAAACACAACAGCGGTGCTGCTTTTTGGCGATAAAGATCGGCGCTGAGTTAAACTGACACACGATAGTGTTGCTCATCTCGCTTGGGTGGAGCCAAAATATGAAAATATGTGCAGCAATCGCCGTGATACGTGGGAGCCCGCTTCTGCCAATCTTGTCTCTGGTTTTTCGATCCCATTCCCTTCCACGGGATTGAGCGATCATTTTTCTCCGACGGCCGTAGGAAGAGCCTTCGTTTGCATTGCAGGCGGTACGGTCCGGTACTTCGACATGAACGCCATGTCTGAGGTTTTTAGTCCGTCGCCAACGTAGCTGCTGCTCAAGTTTGGGCTACGTAGTGCAAGGTGGTCGATCCGATCTTCGCGGACACGGGTGAGGTGCATTGCCTCTTTGCTGTCTGTCTACACGTCTTCCGAATGAGCAGTCTGTGCCACCAGTGTTTCGTTTTCTAACGCATCACGGCCCCTCGTTGATGCACGTGCCTCCTTACGACACACCCACCTGCGATTCTAAGCTGCCGTTCTGCGGCCCCCCCCTTCTCCCCAGGACGCACTTGTTCGTGGTTACCCCCTTCTACATGGGGGGCGACTTGCTGTCACGGGTAGAACTGCACGGAACGGGCGAGGGCAACGCAAGAAGATGGTTCCGGCAGATACTTCTGGGGTTGGCGTACATACACCAGCAGGTGAGGACGACCACGAAGGACCAGTTCCAGGGGAAGGTGTGGGCGCGATGGCGGTGTTCATTCCTGGGGGTAGGCTTGGGCCCATTTTGCTGTATTTTTTCTTATCACATGCTTCCGTTTTCCGGCAAGCATGTACGTCGTCTTTGATTTTTTGGCCAATTGATTGAATGCTCTTTGAGGCGATCTACGCTCGGAAGTATGGTTTGAATCTGTGCTTCTGCTTGGTGCATCCTAGCATTGGCGAGTTATGCTTGGGCTCTGTGGTGCTTTTGTTGCTACAGCGCAAGTGCAACACATCGGAGGAAATTCCTGAAAGTTTCCAATGGTTGATACCTCTACCTGTTACAGCGGAGAGAAAGACGGTGCCGTAACGGGTGGTACTGGAACGGAAGGGTCTCGTCGAGATGAGATTACATTTTCAAACGCGTGTCGTTCGGCGGTAGCGTTAGCGCTGTCTTGGTTCCGGAAATGGCGGGCTTGAAAATTCGATCGATAGCAATTGGGTGTATGTTCTTGGTCTTGCTTGGTTGATTTTGTGCGGAAAAGTACCCACGAGTAGCATACCAGCATTTTTTTTTCTGAGGACGGTCGTCGTCGATCTTGAGTCTCAGAAGCAGATCCCGAAAGAGACGGAGGCCTCGCCCAATTCGATCGCGGCGTGTGAGGTGTGCCCACCAAGCCGGCCGGAGCATTCTACGCAAAATATGCTATTAGTAGGCTTCTGGTACGGCTTGTGAGAGGAGGTCAATTTTGTTTTTGGCCGGGGTCGTGCGGCTGATGAGCTGCGCGTTGGACGTAGGCCTGCTGGCGCGATGTGAATCGTGACAAGGCCCCCTTTTCCCGCGTGGGAGATGCTTATACCGTTTTTTCTTTCACAGCAAACTTCCCTTTCAACGCAGCGCGGAATACACCCGGTTTTTTTAAGACTTTGAATTGTTGGTGAATAGGACCCCGCTTGGAATCGTCACGCCTGCTTCTACGGCAGGTCATGCTGTACGGATTTACAGGACTAACCTTCTACAACCGCCTTTGCTCGGCACGTGCTCTTTATAGAAAGCGAACGGTATTTGCCTTTTTTTTTTTCTTCTGTTTTTATCGCTTCTCTCGATGTTTTTCGTCCTTCATCCGTCAGGGGCTCTGCCACCACGACGTGAGCCCTGAGAACGTTGTGATCACCAACAACGGGGAGGCGGCGGTGGTAATGGACTTCGGCATGGTGCAGCGACTGCAGACGGGTCCTAACGGACAGGTGGTGCCAATGCGCGACCAGCATGTGTTTGGGAAGATGAGGCAAGGTTTTAGGTTGGGCTTGAAAAACTGTTGCGTTCTCGTGTCTGCTGTTGCGGTTATTGCAGCTTTGTGTTCCACGAAGTATGTTCGTGTTACGCCGGTCGATTCACCCTCCAACTTGACCGGGAAAATCTCGTACCAGGAGCGCGCTACAACCACAACGCAGCTAAAGTGTGCTGCACGGAAACGGCCGGTGCCGATATCGGAAGAAGAGTCGATTGCTGCTCTTGCTATCACAACTGGTCCCTTTTTCCTCACCTGCTTACTCGCCACCATCCTGTTTCGTACTTAGTCACGAATGTGCCCACAAGAGTGCTCGATCGATAGCATCTCAGCTGACCGCGCACGTATGTGCTTTATCGGGGATGGAATCTGCAGATACATGGCACCGGAGATCTGGGAGAACCGAGAGTACGACGGGCGGAGCGCAGACATCTGGTCCGTGGCGGTTTCGCTGCTGGTGTGCCTTGTCGGGGAGGAACAGTGGAAGGCACCCACCCGCGTACCGTTGGGGGATCGAGGGATCTATACGTACGTGTTGGTGACGTCTTTGTTGATGATTCAAGTTGCCATAGGTACCCGTCGGCGGCGGTTTTGTTGAGTGATTCATGTTACCATAGGTACGTGTTCGCGACGCCGCAAAGCTACAGGTACGTGTTGGCGACCCTTTCTTTGAATTATGCATATTATTGCTGCTTTTGCTTGTTGTCGGTAGCAAGGTGGGCCGCCGCGATTTCCCTGCGTGTATCGTCGCCGGCTCTTGTCCCTACTACTTCCAAACCATTTTCCTTCCGTATAATGGTGGCGTCTACGAGACTCGAATACTCTTAAGACCCCAATTTTTTTTTCTTTGGAATTATAGTTTCCCCCAAGTGCTATCTTCCATCACGGGTCATCGGGTATACTTGACGAGACCCCTAATGGCCTTCTTCTGCACGAAAGAAAAACATGTGTGTAGTTCAGCGGAAGTGGCTCACTCCCGCGCCCGGTACCTTGGGCTAAGCAGTCGCAAGTGCTGAGTTGGATCAGGCTCTTGAGAGATGACGAACTTGTGGGCAAACCACTTCAAAGATGCAGCAGCAGCAGCCGCAGCAGCTGTCACATCCACAACATCACCAACAAAGACTGGTTTCCCTCGCCACTTTGCACAATTTTACAGTTCAGACATCTACGGCTACACGATCTTGGAGCAGCACGGGGCAGGAGTGATGCTGGAGAGGTGCAACTACGTGCCGAGAATGTCTCCGGCTGCGGCGGATGTCTTGCGCTACATGCTGATAGTCGACCGTGATGTTCGTCCGACCTCGGCGATACTCCTCGCGCAGCACCCCTTTTTCTCGGCGCAGACGTAAATGACCCCTTACTTCTACTGTAGCCATTACGGGGGCTGCGTAGAGTCGATGGCCGGTGTGATTCTTGGAGAACGGGAGCACAAACGGCGAATAAAATATTGGTGTTTTTTTTTCTTCTTTTTCTTTTTTTCGCTGTCTTGTTGCGTATGTTAACAAGGTGTGGTCCGGTCCGCACACGGTGTGGATATTCTTTGCTCTTTGCTCTTTGCTGTCTTTTTAAGGCGCTACGTGCTTGCGTCTCCTCTGAAATTTTGTTGCGGTTAGGTGTCGCCTTGTCTAGACATTTGGGATGGCTTGCATGTGGATTACGGAAAACCCTGTGGGTTATCGCTTCGTTTAAGACATTTGCAGAGGTATGCGTGTTTGTGGCCAGGATTCATGGAAGCCTGCTGCTACTGCAGTTGACTGCTGATGCTGCTGTCGTCACTACTTGCGTGCAGCAATGGTGTTTGGAAGAACGTGCAAGCATGCCACACGTGATTGGCGTGCGTGCTGACAGGTTGATGTGGTAATTTTGATTGGATTATGGGATAGCAGGTAATGCCGCTACTGCTGGTTTGGTGTGGTTCGATATCAGCTTTTCTCTTGGCAGAAGTTTAGGCGCCGGTTTGTTGCACGAAAGGAGGCTTGAAACAGAAACGCCGTGCTTGATCATTGTCGTAGTTCTCAGTGCGATCCGCCCACAAATATTATCTCTGTTGTACTTTTTGGTGCCTTTGCGGGTCGTGGTGGTGGTGTGGTGACCCTCCTGGTATTTGCTTTTTTGTTGTTTTTTTCCCCACACGTGTGTCCGACCAAGATTCCTCGACGATGGACGCGATCGATCAGATTGAGCGCTCTCCGGCGTAGGAAGGTGTCTTGTGTTAGTATGATTTACTGCCGTGTGTGTTGCACGTTATTTCCCGGGTGTAGAGTACCGCTTTTTGTATCAACATCTGGGTCATTAAAGAGGAGTCCTTGGTTGTCATGTCAACTTGTGTTATAGTCTCGGGACCGGTCTGCATTCTCTGCTGGCTGCGAAGTTGAAAACCAGCGAGAAACGTGACCCTGGGGAGCGGATGAGGGGTCAAAGTGGATATTTGAAAATTTACCGCTTGCGCATGGATCCGCCTTGCGATGTTGTTTTCGTTGTTGAGATGGGCCCTGCTTCATCTCCTGTTGCCTGCTGGGGTTCGATCTAAACAAAGAATAAAGTCGGTTGGGATGGGTGTCAATTAATGAGGTGGACCCGTGTGTGACGCGCCGCTCTTTCGGCACACAGTGATGAACAATAGTGGCCAGGCAAAGAGTTTTGTTTTTTGTGGATTGAACCACGGGTGACTTTAACGAAGGGGCTGGCGTTCTCTTTTGCTTACTGCCTTCTCGGCAAATATTCTTGGATCGCGTAGTTTAAGGGTCAATCCCAGCTCTTGGACCCTCCTAGGCCTGGCTCGGCTCCTCCTTTCTCGCCTTGTCTGTATAGGGTACACAATTTCATGTAGATTCTACACAGAGCAGGATCTACGCGCTGAACACTGTTTAGATGGATAATCGGGACAGCCCGCAGAGATATGGCCAGCCTCGCGACCATGGCACGCCGCTAAGCGGACACCTACCTACCGCAGTAGGCGGACCCTTTGTTTGTGTGTTGACCGGGGCGGTAAGAACGGCCGCTTCTATAGGCGGTGCTTTTGCTTCAGGCGTAAGCCTCAATGAGTTGTAAAGAGTAGGACGGCGTATTGCTATATTGTCTGCTGTCGCTTCGTACGAACGCCAACGAGAGGAACGTGGGCAGTCGCCGAAAAGTTGATAATGTTTACGCGAAATGTGGGCATGGTTGCTGTTACTGGATACCGAGAGGGTGAGCTAACGCCGTGCGGCTGCAAGCTCCCACTCTCTCGGTGTCGTGTTGATGGACAGAGTACGGGTAGCCAGCGATCAATACTCTACACCTGCTTGGTGTGAGAGTCTTCGTGCTCGTGCTCGGCGAGGGTTATTGCGAGGCGGCGCAACCTTGAGCTTTGGATAACCTTGACAGGTTCGAGGCGAAAACTGCTGGGCGACAAGCAGCTCTTAATCTGGCCGTATCTCATTCATTGTCCGGACGTGCGTAGTTGATCGGTCTCACTCAGGGTCTTGGACATATGCGAGCCCGCAGACCCACCTGGCCTCTAACACAAGGGTCGATTCATAGGGTGCCCGCAACGGATGGATCCGACAAAAGTGGCCTAAACCTTGGCAAGCACGCTCCACCTTGATTGGCAAATACGCCCTAAACAACAACACAAGAATCAAAAGTTTTCACTCAGTATTGTCAATGTTTGGCTCAACGTGAGGCTCCTGCTAGCGCGAGGATGCTCGGTGATCTACGGCAGCTTTGAAACACCTGGATCAGCCTGTACTTGTGTCAGGGTAGTGCTCTGCCTGTAACGCCCTGTGCTAGCCGAACACTTCATGGCGGGGCGCGGATGGATTGAAAGTGTTTTTTTTTCTCTACCCCCTCTTCCTACGGGGCTTGTACATTTTCGTACTTTTTCATGAAAAGTTTCATGGAAGTCCATGGACTTCCATGGACTTCCATGGACTTCCATGATCTTTCATGAAACATTTCATGGAATTCCATGGAAGTCCATGGAACTCCATGAAACTTTTCACGGCATTCCGTGAAAAGTTCCATGGATGTCCATGACATTTTTGTCATGAAACTTTCCATGAAATAATTTCACTCCTTGTCATGAAACATTTCATGGAATAATTTCATGGACGTTCATGACATGCTTTCATGAACGTTCATGACATGTTTCATGAACGCCCATGAACGTTCATGAAAACAAATGTCATGATAGCCCATGAACGTCCATGGAATGTTTCATGGACGTCCATGGTCTTTCATGAAATATTTCATGAACATCCATGAACGTTCATGAAAAGTTTCATGGACGTTCATGGGCTTTCATGAAAAGTTTCATGAAAGCCCATGGACATCCATGAAATGTTTCATGAACGAACGCCCATGGAATAATTGCTGCTTCTAGCACTGCACGAAAGGGAACACAGTCTCGCAAATCTACTCGTAGCGTTCGTCTTCTTACGTTTGACTTGACCAATAGGCTACACGGTCGACTGGCGGGCTAGAGGCTGCTCCTCGATTCTCGTGGGGGTATGCATGATAACATTGCGAAGACGACCCTGTATTGTACGGCGTGTCTGCCATCTCTCTGCGATCTCCACAGCTACTCAGCGCCAGCGATAATGCAAACCATGCGAGGGCGGGACGCTGAAGCGTCGACGCGTCGGCGGAAAACCCGAGGATACATGGGGATATGTCCCCGCCCCCCCCCAAAATTGAACAAAATTACCCCGATTTTCGATTATGTAGAGTACAGTAGGCCTACCTAACTAACTGAGTGTCTTTAATTTGTGTTCACGACACTACGGCTTCGAAACGCACCTCACCTACCTCACTCGGCAATGGCTAGGTACCGGTTGGAAGCGTTTTTCCCTTTCGCAATCCTCCACCCCTCCATTATCCGACGGTTCGCCAGATCGGGTCTGGCTGTGATGGGACACCCATTCATTGCTGAACGCGACGAGCTGGCGGTGGAGGCCGTCGGCGAGGTTGTTGTGCCCGACCGTTTGGCTTCTTCTCCCGCGGCTCTGCTGATGGGCGGAGGATGGTGTCCACCACTAACTTTTCTTTCGGCTTGGAGCAGATGCACCTTGAGCCCGCCGTGTGATTCATCTCAATTATTATAATGGTAGTTATTTTTTATTTATTTTTATATTTTTCATGGAAGTCCATGGAGCTCCATGGAAATTTTCATGAAACTCCTTGGACGTTCATGAAACATTTCATGGCATTTCATGGAACTCCTTGGACTTCCATGAAATATTTCATGAAGAGTTCCATGGACGTCCATGGACTTCCATGGAGCTCCATGGGCGTCCATGAAAAGTTTCATGGAAGTCCAACGAAGCCCATACGCATTTCATGGAGACCAATGTCCAACACTGCCGAGGCTCATTGGCGGCATTTATCAACCAAGTTGGCGTCACTGGAATATTTCTTGAACGTCCATGAAATGTTTCATAGACTTCCATGATGAAATATTTCATGGACTTCCATGGACTTCCATCGACATGGTGTCATGGACTTCCATGGACTTCCATGAAACTTTCCATTTTTCCATGAACTTCCATGGACTTCCATGGACTTCCATGAAACATTTCATGGAAGTCCACGGAAGTCCATGGAATTCCATGAAATATTTCATGGAAGTCCATGGAAGTCAATGGACTGGTTTCATGGAAGACCATGGACGTCCATGGACTTCCATGGACTTCCATGAAATATTTCACCAAAAAATACTGTAATGTAGATGACTGCCTTCCTACCCGGTCTTCGGCTTCATTCCTGCAATTCATGTTGATTAGCATACCCCTTTTCACGGGTAGGCACCCCTATTACGACATCGCTCCCAGTAGACGATTACACCAGCGTGGTAGACTTTGCGAGTCGGCCCCCGCTTTGCGTACGAGGCGGGGGGGGGGAGGAGCCCGACCGACTACTACTACATACCTTCCAAACCTGTGGTGGGTGCAGTGTGTCCGTGGGCTGCCGCACCCTGGTTGTAGACTATAGTTTTCGAAGGAAACGGACTCACTCGCACATCACTCACTGGATCGTTAGGCTCCTATTGGCGTAGAAACGACTAGCCTGCAGACCAAGCAATGCACTGGAGTTGGAAGATTCATTATGTTTGCTCTTGATCTAAGAATGTTTCTAGGCTTGTGAAGTCCTTCGAAGTATGAAGCTGGGCGGTGTTGTCAGTAATCTTTTCGCTGGATGCGACCGTCACGGTTCCGTCACGTGTCCTACAAATTCTTCGAATCTTGTTCCGTGTTGTTGTGTTGTTGCAAGTGCGATATAAATACATGTCTTCATGTTTCGTCGCCGTTGGCACCAAGTACGTCCCAAAGCTGATAAAGCGACCTTAGGAAATGATGCAGCAGTGAAACATTACTGAAAGAAATCTTCTGGAAACCCTCTACTCTTTTTTCTTTATTTCTTCACTTCAAATCAGCGCTCACAGCACTAGTGCCGTTTACTCCAACCCGTGGTCACACAGAAGAGCCCTTCTCCACCCTCCCCTCCTACTTTGCCTTCGATTTTTAATGCGAGAAGAGTTCAGCACTCTCTTCCCTCTGTGCACACACGAACGAGCGCTATCCACTAGACCAGGAGCGGAAGCGAGAGAAAAACTCACTTTGCAAGAAAAGCTCGCTTACGCCGGGATTCGAACCCCTGACCTGACCTCTAGAAGGTTTCGCGGATACCAACTAGACCACCAGGGCGACCGGTGTATGCTACTCCACGGTAACAAAGACGAGCGAGCGTACAGTGGTACCAAATAGTATTTTGTTTCTTTTTTCTGCTGGATTCACCGTTAATTCTTCGGCGAAATGAATATAATGGTCATCCAGTATCAAGCTGTTGGTTTTGCGCTCGAACGTACCGCCAGTTCTTACCCCAGCTTTCAGGTACTCACACCGATGCGCGTCTTGTAACCACACTCGCACTACTGTAGTGTTATATTCGATGCACTTTACGCGGTTCGTAGAATGCTCTAAACGATTCTCCACACCACAGAGTGAAATTCCCACCAGATCCGCTGTCACCTCTCGGGTCGACCATCGATTTCATTCAATTTTCGCAAACCTGACACTTCATGACGTCGTCCCCTGCTGCCGGCATTTCACCCAAGTCTTTTCGGCGGGTGAAACTGTCGTGACTCTTCCCACATAACAGCTGGCCGGGTGCCTGACTCTCGCCGAGTCTCGAAACGTTTTCGTCACTACTGGGTTACTTGTTTCAAGAACGTGTTGGCCATACGGAGTGAAGTTGGTTTCTAGTTTTCGGGCTAAAAACGTCTCCTACCAGGTCGCAACCACGCGATCATCTGCACAACCTTTCCAGTACTGCTCGTTTTCTTTGACGATCACACGTTTCCTCAGTCAATCGACATCACTGTCCTTTGAGAAACGAGAATGGTGTCGCTCCCACAGCACGTTTTCCTCGTGCAGACGAGGAAAGCAGGAGGGAGATAGCAGGACGTGAAACGAGAAAAGAAACGGAATGAAAGTGATGGAGAAGCCAGAATCAGGAACATAAGCCTGTGTCCGATGTAAGGCAATTGCTGTCCCTATTCCTCCCATCACACCAGTTCCAGGTTTGGCGTATTGCTTGATGCTATTAACATTTCTGGGGTTCCTATGCATACAGAGTACAATTGACACACGGTCGATTGTCTTATAATGTGTGCGAGAGCCTGACAGGCGAGAATCCGGCACCGAACACCCCGGGATAGTTTGTAGGGATGTGGGGGGAACGTCTTGGGGGTCGAGTGAAGCGGAGAAGTGATACCTGTGTCTTGATGTTCGAGCTCCTTACTCATTTGCAGGTAATTGGGGGGCATGGTCTGTGAAACTCCTGCGGTGAATTTCACTCCAGGGACAAGGATTGTTTTGTTACTTATCCTCGCTTGTCGAGTGGGGGGTGATGGGCTATGTGCATCGAGTACCCCTACTGATCTCCTTTTGTCCAGCATATCACTTGCTGCTAAGAATGTTTCTTTACGTAATTAATCTTTCGAAACAAGTCTGAAATCTTGGATGCACCCAGCATTTTTCGCGCACACAATAAACCCCGGGAAGTGTTCAGAAATCGTAAAACCAGCCCCTTTCCATGGCATCCGAAACACCGCGCGCATACACTACTCTCTATACCAGAGTTGTGAGCAGCACACGCCAGTGTGTGTGTCTTTTCGGTTCTGGAGCTTCAACATGCACCGACCAAGCATCACGTCATGGGTTGACCGCCATCGTCACCCAAGTAATAGGAGATTGTGGTACCCCGTCCGTCCCACCACGAGCACCTTTCATTGCTGCTGCCGCAGTTACGCCTGCCAGAATCGCTCCTCCCCCGTCCCTGTCTCCCGTGATCTTATGAATGCTCCGCGACTGCCCGTCGACCAGTCGCAGATGGTCCACGAAGCTCGGCCACAGCAGCACCAGGCAAAACTCGTCTGAGACCGAACTTCTTGACGCGTCCCCTTCGCTCACACTCGCCTCCTCTTCGCCCCCTCTTCGATGCGTCTGGCTTCCCTCCTGCGTCGTTCCTGTAGCTCCAGCATCGTCCGAGTGATCGGTTTGCGGCTCCGGCGGGACCTCTAGTCCCGGTATCAAGGAAGTCTCGAAGGAAGCTTGCGAGGCCGGGCTAATCTGGGTCCATTGGTGTCGCCGCGCCTTGGCCAGGGCCTCGTCGCTCTCTCCCGCATCGACCACCTGGAGCCTCCCCTTGACCCGAAACTGCTCCCGGGTTTTCTTCAGGCAAAAGCATACCTCCCCGGCTGTGGCAGAGGGTGGGGGGTTTGGTTAAACATCGGCAGCCAAGTCCTATCAGATCTATGAATACGTTGCCATCGTCGTACCTCCGCAACACTCGACACGAATGACTTTTGCAAACTGGCACCGAGACGAGTGGCCTTTGCAAGCGGGTCCGCCAAAATACCTGGCTAATGGAACTACCCACCTTCTACGGCTCATGATACCGTATCATTGTTTCATCAGTGCATACTTACGGTGCCAAAAAATCATGATAGGAGGGCGCGCAAGACTATTGCTGCGGGGGTCCAACGGCATCGGAGGGAAAAACGATCGATACAGCATTTGTCACATGCTCTAAAGAGCGTGTGCAGATTGGTGCCAACGGTGGTCTGTGCCTGCAACCTCGGTTGGGCCGGGAAGTTTGGCACACGAGAGCACACAACTTGGTCTTGTTTCGCAGCGACTTCACAACTCCGAAAAGTGAATAATACAAAATCTTTGAGGCGACAAAAAAAAACCGGTCGAGGTTTCGCACCTATGCAAGGGAGTAGGCTTCATCTATGGCCGGTTTTCAGCTGCACCGATGCAACCTAGTACAACCCCCCCCCCCCCCCCCCTCCCCCCTTTTTTTTCTTCTTTCCTTCTTCCCCCCCT